TGAGCGATACAATTAATTACAACAGGGAGGTTAAAGTAATTGTTTTAAAGTGGGGTCTATAAACTTTATTTTTTTTTAAATCAGGAAATGTATTAGTCATAAATTGATCCCGGTTCTGTACTGATCTTCAGAATGGGGAGTTGTTTACTGCTCAAATGGGCTCCAGTTCAGCTAGTATAGTAGTTTTCCTGAATTGGGCTGAAAGAATTTCTGCTGCAGATCCATTGCACGGAGCATAATCTTAAAAAGTTCACCCTGAGTTGGGGAGCACATAAATTAGGACCATTTTTAACGTGACTGTTGCAGCATCCCCATGATCACGTGATCAAAATTCAGATCTTTTGGCAACTGATTCATATTTATGACAGTTGCAGTGTCCCCGGGTCGTGGGATCCCTTTTTGTGACCTGACAAAGTCCATGGAGAAACCACATTCATTTTAACAACCACGTTACTAACTTAACAACTGAAGTGATTCAATTGTGGTTAAAGAAAGGTCGTAAAATGGGCAAAGCTCACTTAACCATTGTCTTGCTCAGCAACAGACGTTTTGGACTGAAATTGTGGTCGTAAGTCGAGGACCACCTGTAACGGAGAAAAATTTGTTTTTAACAAAGTAAGGCAACAACCGGTCCAATATCCTGCCTGGGTCCTTTGGGGTGGTTTCCAATCAAGTATTTTATTAGTTCGAAGCCAGCCTTTTATGCAGGATACAAGTTCAAAGATGGGCAAAGGGAATAAGCTACCTTTAAAAACACCCCTTCGGATTTCTGACTTCTTTGAAAAGGAGGAAGGATGGTTCAAAGGCAGGACTTCAGCTTTATCATCTTAATTAACTGCTACAAAGGCTGGCTGACCCAGAAGCCAGACGTGCTGTCAAAGCGATTAGCTAAAAAAAAAAAAAAAAAAAAAAAGACAAAATAAAATAAAATATTGCAGGCCACTTTAGCTGACTGTGTTCAGCGGTTCAAATCTCACCGGCTCAAGGTTGACTCAGCCTTCCATCCTTCCGAGGTAGGTAAAATGAGGACCCAGATTGTTGGGGGCAATGTAAATATATATATACATTGCTTACTGGTGTACACCGCTTAGAGAGTGCTTGCACTTAAAGCGGTATATAAGTCTCATAAAATAAATAAATAAATAAACCTCAAGCCGACAAAATGCAGCTACTTTGCAGCCAAATTTGCATTTTGCTGACCCTGCAAAGGCCTCACCAACCTGAACATCAGTTTTCTCCTCACTCTTCAGCTCAGGCAATTTTCTAAAAAAAAAAAAAAAAAAGGAAGGGGGAAAAAAAAAGCATGTAAGATTGTCTTAGCAATTGGCTTCTGGAGCATCTTCCAGGAATTAGGCCTGGTGCAAAGCACTAGAATCCACAGATGTTCTAATAAAAGGAACTCGCCAGTTGGTTAGTTGATAGACATTCAAAAGCTTGACGTGGTTACGAAGGACAAAAGGGTTGTGCTTTTAATAGGACTTCCTCCTCGCCTCCATCTTCAACCGCTCGCCGAACCTCAGCAGGTGACACGTAGAGCAGGACGAAGCACAACCACTTCCCTTTTGCCCCACAACCGGATGTGCAGTCTCCAAAGGTGTGCAGGTCACCCATTTCGCCCATGCACAGAGACCTTTCTTGCTGAAATCTATTTCAAATGTAGCACGCTTTCCAACGGGGAAGCATACAGGCAGTCTTCGACTTAGAGACAGACCTTGGAGTCTTAGTGGACGATCACTTAGCCATGAGCCAGCCGTGTGCGGCAGCAGCCAAAAAAGCCGACACAATCCTCCGTTTATTATAAACGGAGGCATAGAATCAAAATCATGTGAAGTGTTAGTACCGCTTTATAAAGCCTTAGTAAGGCCACGCCTGGACTACGGCATCCAGTTTTGGTCCCCACATTACAAAAAAGATGTAGAGACTTTGGAAAAAGTGCCGAGAAGAGCAACTAAGGTGATTGAAGGCCTGGAGACAAAAACATATGAAGAACGGCTGCAGGAATCAGATATGGCTAGTTTAGAGAAAAGAAACAGCGGGGACAGGATGGCCGTGTTCCAATATCTCAGGGGCTGCCCCAAAGAAGAGGGAGTCAAGCTATTCTCCAAAGCACCTGAAGGCAGGACAGGAAGCAATGGATGGAAACTAATCAAGGAGAGAAGCAACCTGGAACTAAGGAGAAATTTCCTGACAGTAAGAATAATTAACCAGTGGAACAACTTGCCTCCAAAAATTGTGCGTGCTCCATCATTGGGGCTTTTAAGAAGAGAGTGGACAGCCACCTGTCTGAAATGATAAAGGGTCTCTGGTTTGAGCAGTTACAGACTTAAGATGTATTTCCCTCCTCACTGTTTTAATAATAGAACTTGCTTATTTCCACAGTCACCTCTACCCAATTCTAGACGAGAGTTGTCACCTGTTTGAATCATCCCTTGCCAATAATATTCCTTATACACACACAGGCACAGTGGTGTGTGTGTGCATGTGTTTCTTTCCACCCTATACGGCAAGCTGTGTCTTAAACCAAGCCCATTGTGCAAGTTACCTAAATATTAGAAATCCAGAACTTAGAAGAGAGACATCTGTGAGCATAAAAGACCAGAAGCTCAAGAGAGTCTGTAACTCAACAGGGGAATCTGATCAGACCAAGAATATGTGATGTACATTTTGCAGTTAGAGGTAACGACCGTAATGAAACCTAGAATTTTTGTCGTTAAGTCAAGACGGATGTAACTTGAGGTACCCACATGATCCACCTGGTTTTATGGCCTTTTTGCAGCAATCGTTAAGCGAATGCTTTTGTCATTAAGTGAGTGCCATCGTTGTTCAATGCCACAGTTGTTAAGCTGCTTATTCTGACCTGAGGTACCAAGGAAAATAAACTTCCTAAGCCTAAGCATCTCCCTCTTTGGGACTGCTGGAAAGGACCAAGGCGCCTCTGGGGAAGGAGAGCTCAAAACACATGGGCATCAGAGTCAAGTTCAGCATAATTGAGGATGATGCTCGTTTTAAAAGGCCACGGATGGAAATCAAAACCATCTTCTCTTCTGAGGTTAAAAAAAAAAAAGACATGCAGAAATAAATGGGAGTCCAAGCTGCCCTAAAGTTAAGTGTCTCCCATTTGCCTGGCATGCTTTGTGTGATTAAACTCCACTTGTGGTGTCATCTACACAAATTAGCGAGCCTGTTTGGGACTAACAGCGCACGGCAATCCGGAAGTTACTCACAACGCAGAACCACCAATTGCAGACTTCTCCGTCCTGGAATACCAAACAAGATTTGAACTCGTGGCTGGAAAAGATCCGTCAGCATCACAACCTTCCAAAGTACAGCCAGCCAGTCTAGTCTAGAGGTTAAGGCATCAAGCTAGAAAGCAGGAGACGGCGAGTCCCTTAGCCATGAAAGCCAGCTGGGAGATGTTGGATCAGCTCCACCAACCTCACAGGGTTGTTGCGGTGGTGGTGAAAAGACGTTCACTGCCTTGAGTTATTCGTAAGAAATAATAAAGGCGAGGTATAAATAAAGAAAAATATACCCTGAGCAAGAATGTGGATATCAGTTGAGGCTATCTGAAAGAGGAAATCAAAAGGAAGATGTAGCATTGGGCAACGCTTTTCTTGCTTAGCTGTAGGCACCGCTAAACACACATCACACAACGACGTGCTTTTAACACTGCCTCTCCTGACCCCAGTGGAGATCCTTTCAAATCTGAGGAAGGGGAAAATTTTATCCTTGGGAGATAAAATCTCTTTTTTCAGGCCTGAGAAAAACAGCATTGTCCTCTGAAACGATACAATAGCAACAGCACTTAGACTTATATACCGCTTCATAGTGCTTTACAGCACCCTCTAAGCGGTTTAAAGAGTCAGCATATTTGCCCCCAACAATCTGGGTCCTCATTTTACCGACCTCAGAAGGATGGAAGGCTGAGCCAACCTTGAGCTGGTCAGGATCGAACTGCTGGCAGTGGGCAGAGTCAGCCTGCAATACTGCATTCCATCCATCGCCATCCCCGGCTCCTACAAGGCAGGTCTTATTCCATGGCACAACTAGCAAAAACCCCACAATCCTAAAATTAATTCTCAGCTTTTGAAAGTTCGCTGATGGACTTTCTGGTACAATATACTGATTTTCTTGGCACCCCTAATACAGCTTCGTGTGTTGTGATCTTGTGTTCAGACTGCACATTATCATCCCACAAAAGTTCTGGTAGATTAAAATTTTTCATCCCTTTGATGTCACTGCGGCACTCCAAACAGGTTTTAAAAACAAGAAAACCAACGAAGCATTTCCACGAATGGAAGGGGCGGGGGGGGGGGAAGCAAATAAAAAATAAAACGATAAAAAAAAAGACCAACTCTTTTGTTGTAACCAATAGTTTCATGAAAACCTGGCGGCCTGTTGATGTCAGCACATTTCCTAGCCCAGCCGAACAAGCTTCCCCCCCCCCCCTTGCAGGAAAGCAGCTTGAATACCCAAGAGCCACGGTGGGAAATAATGCCGAGTTTGCAGTCCTATGAAAAATGGGGTGACCTAGCACTAAGCAGCTTTCTTGATAGGTGAGAAAATACTGATTTTTACTCATTTTCAGGTGCGGTACTTGCAAGCCGAGCGAAGAGGGCGAGGTTGCCTCGTTTTATTCTATAAAAGCAAATTCTTGACTTTTAAAAAATACCAAATTGGGAGATTTAAAAGTAGCTGAGGTTGCATTCAGTCTGTTCCCTGAAGAATTCACACGTTCTTGCCTCGTTTTTGAGAATTGTACTGCTAGAATCTTAACCAGGCCCCACCACCAATTCAAAAACAGGGAAGGATTTACAAGTAATATGGCCTTGGGAAATTACATTCCCTCGGAACAGAGATGTTGCACATCTGTAAGGTTAATCTACTTCAGTTTCTCTCAACCTTGACAATTTTAAGGCATGTGGACTTCAACTCCCAGGATTCCATAGCCAGCATTGCTGGCTGTGGAATTCTGGGAGTTGAAGTCCACATGCCTTAAAATTGTCAAGGTTGAGAAACACTGATCTACTTCTAGAACACACATGTCAAACTCGCGAGGTCGCATGATGTATTTTACTATTGCCAACAATGGGGTGGGTGCGGCTTCTGCGTGACATGTCCAGGCCGCCGGCTGGCAGTTTGACACCCCTGTTCTAGAAGTTTCTATGGAGATTCGTACTACTGAATCTTAACCAGATCCCACCACCAATTCAAAAACAGGGAAGGAGTTACAAGTTAATATGGCCTTGGGAAATACATTCCCTCAGAACAGAGATGTTGCACGTCTGTAAGGTTAATCTATTTCTAGAAGTTTCTGTGGAGATTCTCAGTCATCCAGACTATGGTTGTTCCAAAGGTGCTTTTTCAAAAGGCAATTGGGATTTTGTTTTTCCTTGAAGGCATTTCACTTCTCATCTAAGAAGCTTCTCCAGCTCTCACTGATATAACTATAGATCCTTCACATTTATAAAATATAAATGTGTTCAGTATAAATCCTTCCATTCCCTATTGTTCAATCGGAACTGAAGAAGCTTCCTGGGTGAGAAGCAAAATGTCTTAAGCAGGACTTAAAATGCACCCTGGCACTGGCTTCAGAAGCTCCCACATTCCTTGAAATCATGATTATAGGATGTGAGATTTATCCCCCCAGATGCTGGGTTGTTTCCCAATACAGCTGTTGACAGAGTTAAGACTGGCTGACGATGGTAAGAACGGGCCACAAAGGTCATTTGGAAAGCAACGAAGGACGAGAGTCCTGAGAAGGGAGTGCTGGTTCTAGAGCAGTGGTTCTCAACCTGTGGGTCGGGACCCCATTTGGGGTCAAATGACCATTTCACGGGGGTCGCCAAACCACGCTGTCCGCCATTTTTTTCCCTTTTCCCTAGCTGTCCTACTCCCTCTTATTGGTGGCCACACCCACTTGGGGGTCACCACAACATGGGGACTTGTATTATGGGATCACGGCATTAGAAAGGTTGAGAATCACTGTTCTAGAGCAAAGATGCTCCTCAGAGCCTTGAATAGAAGGCCAGAAAGATGCAAAGAGTGAGCAGTTTACCTCACACTCCCTCTTCCCTTTCCCTTTTTTTCAGAGAAATGTATATTTCAATGGGCTGGGATTAAGCCCTCACACGTAACTCTTTATCTTTCATTGGGTTGGGATTAAGCATGCCCGTTGCCTATCCTGCCTTCTCCCCCCCCCCAAACCCCTTTTCAAATACACCAGTAAGTAATCAGCATCACACTGGCTATCTCAAGCTTTTGTAACCGTGGGGACAAGTGGCATCCTTTTATTAAGAGCGACGAGCCGTTTCAGAATCCCCAAACCCTCGTTTGTGCTGTACGCCACGTGGTCGCGCTGACGTCAATTCACAAGCAGGTCTGCTCCTTCTCCAACATCATCTCTCTCTCTCTCTCTCATGTCTGCGTTGTTCAGCTTTTCTGAAGTTAAGACTGACGTGAGACCTTGAAGTGCTTGAGGTAGGAAAACCAAAGAGGGTGCTCTGCAGCCATCAATCCACCACAAAAAGTTCTCCTTCACAAAGCCAACTGCTCTGAATAGGAGGTACAGGACAGGAGTACTGTGGTTCTGCAGGGACGCTTCATCTCACCTCAAAGGTGGACCAGCTCTGGAGAACCAAATATGCCCTACGGCAGCCAACGCAGCCACAGCACCTGGTAGCCAGGCCACTTCTACAGAGAACACAACGCCATCCAGTTTTCTGACGTCCTACTACTCCAGGACTTTGCCTCACTACTCGACAAAGAAACAACTTGGTCGGTCGGCGGCCTGTCCCCAACCGTTACTACTCTCTACTGCAAATCTCCTACGAAGGTCCCCAGGCTGTTTCTCATCGAGAGGATGTTGGGGCCGGAAGACCCCCCTTGGGCTCGCAGAAGAACCTGCTGTTCAGGGTGTAGCCACCCTCCTGTCCCCCCCGCACGTCGAAACCGATGGTGACCTCCTCAATCTCCTCGTGGCTGTTCTGGACAGTGCTTTTCCCGTGCAGTTCCTTCAGGTGGCGCCGCAGGCCCGGCTTGTGCGTGAAGTGCATCTCGCAGTAGTTGCACTTGTGGGGCTTGATGCCGCTGTGGAGGTTGAGGTGGTCCTGCAGGGTGGCGTTCTGGGTAAAGCACTTGCGGCAAATGGGGCACTGGAAGGGCTTGAAGCCCGTGTGCACCCGGATGTGCCGGGTGAGGTTGCTCTTCTGCGAGAAGACCTTGCCGCAGCGCAGGCACAGGAAGAGCTTGTGCTCCTGCACGTGGCTGACAAAGTGGCCCAGCTGCTGGAACACCCGGCTGCAGCGGGGGCAGCGGTAGGGGCGCTCCAGGCCCGGAACCTTCCACGAGGCCACCCCGCTGCCCGTCCGCCATTCCCGGTAGTTGATAGCCGGGCGGTGGCGGTGCAAGGGGTAGTTCCTCCACGGAGAAGTGGGGGAGGAGGTTGTGGAGGGGAAGGGGAGCCCTTTGCCGCTCATCTCATCGTCGTAGCAGCCCTGCAGGTAGCTGCGGGTGATCTCCACGGCGGAGTTGATGAGGGAGAGGGAAATGGCGGGAGAGGCTGGGCCGTGGGAGCCGCGAGGGGTGAACTCCACAGCCATTTTGTTCTCTTCGCAGTCTGCTTTGCCTGGATTGGAAGATGGTGGCTTTCTCCCCTCTTCGTCGTCCTCCTCCTCTTCTTCCTCTCCGTCTTGCTGTTCACTGCTCTCCTCCTCCTGCTTCTCCAACAGGGCGTCCGCCTTGGGGACCAAGTAGTGGGAGACGGCCTGAGCGCAGCGCTCTACCACGTGGCCCATCTGCAAGAAGGACGCCGCCGTCAAATAGTTGACCAGTTCCTTGATAGGCACTTCCAGGCACCCGGTGTAGCAGGAGAGCAGAAGCTGGCGCCCGATCTCTGGGCTCTGGAAGAGGGAAACCGTCACCTCTTGCGAATCGTTGAGCAGGAACTGGTCACGCAGGAAAGGGGAGCAGGCCGCAAAGACCACGCGGTGGCCGGGAACCCGCAGCTCGTTCACCTGTACCGTCACGTCGCAGAAGCGGCGTTGCTCCCGCAGCTGGTCCATGCGATGCAGCACATCGTCTCCGTAACCGGGAAAGCGGAACTGTAGCCGCTCGCAGGCCGGGGCCATTATGATACGCCTGGAAGAGACAAGATGGAGGAGACGGAAGAACTGTGAGTGACAGGCAGAAATGCCAGAGGAGGAGGGCCTATTTGGAGGAGTGTTTCAGTAAGCACGGATAACATGGAAGGGGGAAAAAAAGAGTAGGCTGAATAAAAAATAATAATTTGATGGAGAGGGCCTGATCAATGGAGAGCCAGTTTGGTCTAGTGCAAGGGTAGGCAACCTTGGCTCTTTTATGACTGGTGGACTTCAACTCCCAGAATTCCTGAGCCAGCATGGCTCAGCATGGAAACCTCTCCCTTTCCCCTCAGCGCGGCTGGCTCAGGAATTCTGGGAGTTGAAGTCCAACAGTCATAAAAGAGCCAAGGTTGCCTAGCCCTGGCCTAGGCCTGTATTTCTCAACCTTGGCCACTCGGAGATGGGTGGACTTCAACTCCCAGAATTCCTGAGCCAGTATACCTCAGCTTGGAAACCTCTCCCTTTCCCCTCAGCGCGGCTGGCTCAGGAATTCTGGGAGTTGAAGTCCACCAGTCATAAAAGAGCCAAGGTTGCCTACCCCTGGCCTAGTGGTTAAGGCATCAGACGAGAAACTGGGTGGTGGTGAATTCTAGTCCAGCCATCTGGGTGACTTTCGGCCAATCACCAGGAGACGGTGAATTCTAGTCCTGCTTTAGGAATGAAAAAATTGGATGATCTTCGGTCATTCATTCTCTCCCAGCCCAGCCTACCTCACAGGGTTGTTGTGCTGGGGTAAAATAGGAGGAAAAAGGAGCACAGGTAGTCCTCGACTTACAACCACAAAGCCCAAAATTTCCACTGCTAAGCAGGACATTGTTGAGTTCTGCCCCATTTTACAACCTTTCTTGCCACAGTTGTTAAGTGGATCACTACAGCTGTTAAGTTAATAACACAATTGTTAAGTGAATATGGCTTCCCCATTGACTTTGCTTGTCAGAAGGTCCCAAAAGAGGAATCACATGACCCCAGGACACTGCAACCGTCATAAATATGAGTCAGCTGCTAACTGAATTTTAATCACATGACCACGGGGACTGTGCAACGTCACAAGTGTGGAAAATGGTCCCCAAGTCCCTTTTTCCAGCGCCGTTATGAACTTCAAACAGTCACTAAACAAACTGTTGTAAGTCAAGGCGGGCTATAAAATAAATAAAAATGAAATAAAGGTGGCTGATTTAAACTTTTGTGTATGGACAACTTCCCCATCAACAATTCCATGAAGGCAAGGGTTTATAAAGTAATTTGTTTTCCAAGTTCAGCTATCCTGAGAAACTCAAGTTTTACAGAACTTGTCTTAATCATTTTAGCCAAACCTGGCTGATGTGGGCACAAAACAGCCGAATCTGGTCCTTGTTTAGGTTGAATCCTGGTTCATTTCACAACTAAACTGAGATGTCCTCCCGCTTGGGACAAATCTAGCAGGAAAAATAAGGAGTGTCAAAAGGTTAATAACTGTGAAGGGTTTGCCTAACTGGATAGGGAGGCTTGGATTATTTTACACCGGGCCTTTTATTTTTATTTTCCAAAACTCCGCTTTTGTTGACTAAAATCTCGCTGAAGCAGCGAATTATTTTGATTTCGTCCCCCACGTGTCTTACTACCATTCCCGAAAGAGACCTACGCAGTCGGAGCCACGAGCGCGCGTCCCCTTGCGCTACGATCCCCGCTCCCGTACGCAACCTGCGGGGGCTAGCCGTCGCCCGTTGCGCTATTGGCGCGGGGTCCTTTTGCATTCCAAAGCTATTCGTAGAGCGACCCCTAGAGGCGTCCCAGTACGCTATTTGCGTCCCTTCTGGGTCCTGAAATGCCTATTCAGAGACGCCACTTACGCTCGCCGCCTAAGGGGTGCTGGCTCTTTATCCCAGGACGTACGTCGCGCTTCTGGAGCCACTCACCTCACTGCCGCCTCGGGCACCTAACTGCCTCCTTCCAGGGGCCACCTTCGCGTTTGGAGCCCCCCAAGACGGCCGCTCCGCATCGGCTCCTTTAGGCCTGCTCACAGCACCTCGACTGCGCCGCCATCTTGGAATCCGCCTCTCAAAGGGTCCGGGACTTTTTCCTCCCAGGCGGGCAAGGGCAGGGATTGCTCCGCGCCGCCACCCGCCTCCGGGGCGCAGCATAAGGGGGACCTCCGAGAGCGGGTGGGGGAGTGAAGGGTCATGCGAAGCGTGGGTATCACTCCGCGGGAAAGAGTCCCAAGGCTCAGTCCCTCTGACGCCCCATTGGAAGCATAGCTTTCCCCCCCTTTCCAGTCGTTCCTGTCTCTCTATTGCCGCCTCCCCCAAGTTGGTGCCTCCAGAGGGCTGGACTACAACTCCCATCTCCTCAGCTAGCAGGGTGAGGGGAGCTTCAATCCAATGCATCTACTCAGTCCTTTTAACACCCCCCCATAGGAAGCTGAGCTCTCCCCTCCAATTGTTCCTGTCTCTCTATTGCAACCTCCTCCAAGTTAGTGCCTCCAGAGGGCTGGACTACAACTCCCATGTCCCTAGCTAGCAGGATGGGAGTTCGGAATTCCAGTCCAATGCATCTACTCAGGCCTTCTGACACCCTCTCCCCATAGGAATCTGAGCTCCCCCCTCCAATTGTTCCTCTCTCTCTATTGCAATCTCCCCCAAGGTGCCCCCAGAGAGCTGGACTACGACTCCCATCTCCCTAGCTAGAAGGATGGGAGTTCCAGTCCAATGCATCTACTCAGGCCTTCTGACGCCCCCCCCCCCATAGGAAGCTGAGCTCTCCCCTCCAGTTGTTCCTGTCTCTCTATTGCAACCTCCCCCAAGTTAGTGCCTCCAGAGGGCTGGACTACAACTCCCATCTCCCTAGCTAGAAGGATGGGAGTTCGGAATTCCAGTCCAAGGCATCTACTCAGGCCTTCTGACACCCCCCCCCCCCGTGGGAAGCTGAACTCTCCCCTCCAGTTGTTCCTGTCTCTCTAGTGCAACATCCCTCAAGCCGATGCCTCCAGAGGATTGGATTACAACTCCCATCTCCCTAGCTAGCGGGATGGGAGTTGCAGTCCAATGTAACTGCATGGCACCAGCTTGGGGATAAACAGAAGGCCACAATGCACCCCCAGTCCTCCCAATCTGTTGTTATGATTTCCCTGGATTGCGCTTAACTTTTTTTTTTCTGCATGACCCAGTCCGCTGAACTGTGAGCTATCTGAATTAACCTGGTTGAAAAGAACTCATATGGAAATATAACCACCGTTTCTTCAGCTGAGCTGGTTAAGTGGAGGGTGAAAACGGGACGGATATGAGCTTTTTTGTCCCTAATTCAGACCCAAAGTTACCTGCCACCTCCATCAGGCTGTACGTGGCCAAACAGACTGATAGAGATGCTGTACACTTTTTCTGTTCTTTAGTTGAAAAGATTCCTGAACTAGAAAGACTTACAAAATTAAATAATGGAGCAATCTGTGGAGTCAGGAGTGCAAATGAGAAAGAAAACAGAACCCTGAATCCTTAAGTTCTTCAGGATAGTAATATATGGTTGGCTTGATAACAGAACAACAGAATTGGAAGGGACCTTAGAGGTCTTCTAGTCCAACCCCCTGCTTAGGCAGCAGACCATAGACCAGTGGTTCTCAACCTGTGGTTTGGGACCCCATTTGGGGTCGAATGACCATTTCACAGGGGTCGCCAAACAACGCAGTCCGCCATTTTTTCCCCCTTTTCCTTAGCTGTGCTACTCCCTTTTATTCTATTGGCTTTTGAAAGCCAATAGAATAGACTCTCTTGAATAGAGTCTAATTCTATTGGCTTTCAAAAGCCAATAGGAATTGTCCAGGCTGTCTCTGCCCTGCTGAGCCCGCCAAAAGTCCCATTCTGCAAACGGTGCTGCACCAGTTGAGTAGTCCTTGACTTACGACCGGTTGAGTAGTCCTCGACTTACGACCGGTTGGGGGGTCGCGGCATTAAAAAGGTTGAGAACCACTGCCGTAGACCATTTAAGAAAGTGCTTGCAACCTCTCTTCGTAAAAACCTTCAGTGATGGAGCATCCACAACTTCTGGAGGCAAGTTGTTCCTCTGATTAATTGTTCTGTCAGGAAAATTTTCTTTAGTTCTAGGTTGTTTCTCTCCTTGATTAGTTTCCATCCGTTGCTTCTTCTGATGTTCTGACCAGTAGTGGGAGTCAGTCAGTTTGCACCAGTTCGGCAGAACCGGTAGCTAATTTTTTTGTTGCCCAGGCCCAGAACGAACTTCCAGAAGCGGCATCCACACAGAGAACCGGTTGTTCACCTATTTGAATCGCACCACTGGTTCTGACCCACCACCAGATCAAGACACTGGATCTGTTCCCCTCAGTTTTTCCCCCATCACAGTCCAGTGAGGCATGTTGAATTGAGAAATAACAACCGGCTTGAAATTACAAGATAGCTAAATGCTTCCTCCTTTACAGATCCTTCTCCATTTCGCACAAAACCACAATTCTTGTGCGGTTTGTACAAGCAGGAATAGTTATTGGGCTGGCCCTGTCCTACAAAAAGCTGGTAGATCAGATGTTTCAGAAAAAAAAAAATAGAGCTTGCGTATCCTGCAGATGTTCATGGAGGTTATAAAATTCAAGATAGCGGGCACAGTTTTGTGAAACCCCCACCCCACAGAAGATAATGTTCATATTTTGATCCTTCCTTCCTCACTCTCCAGCCCAGATATCCTGAACTGAAATTGTTTAGGGGGAGAAAAATCCTTATAAATCTTTATAAATCCAAAATCAGCCATAAATAAGATTCATGACTATTTCTGTGGTTCTACAAAGCCTTTGAATGCAGTCCTTGGCTGCAGAGAGCTTCAAAAGGCAGAAAGAAATGGGGTGTGATTGAAAATGGAAATTTTTTTGGTTTTCTTTTTTAACCAAACCCAGCATTCATATTCTGATTCACTGAAGTTTATCTTAATCCTAGGTTTGGATTAACGGTCAGTTTGGGAACTATATTTAGGGTTTACATCCCAACCGGCAAGACACAATACCTCAGGGATTCTCCAAAGTGCAAATCTTTTTCTGCAATGTCAAAAGTGCTTTCTTTCAAAAGGCAACTGGACTTTGTTTTGCCTTGAAGACACTTCGCTACTCATCCAGAAGCTTCTTCAGTTCTGACTGAATGGTGGAGGACAGAAAGATTTATATTTCTCACAATCATCTGGTCCTTAGTACTCTGAGAGTCTTGAGGCCACTTGGAGGTTTATCTTTAGGGAGGACAGTCCTCCTTTTGTAGGTTTTGTCCTCCCTCGAAAAATGTCCTCCTACATGTCCTCCTTTTCGATATTTGAAGACTAATCTGCAGGGCTTTTTTTTTTTTCTCATAGAAGGCCCAGAACGACATTCCGGCACCTTTTTTTTAAATGGTTTTTTTTTCAACTTTTGCATGAGCTGGGCTACTCCCGCTATTGGCTTTCGAAAGCCAATAGGAATTGCTGCTGAGCGCGCCAAAACACCCGGCTGGCAAACTTGGCACATGCAAGTTGTCTGTATTATTGTTGCAATGAATAACATGTTTCTTTTCTTTACGATATTTTTTTCTTCAATTTATTTGTGTCCTCCTTTTCATTGTAAAAAAGTTGGTCACCTTATTTATCTGTGCCCTCTGGGTCACCTGAACAGGTGTGCAAATTGGTGCAAATAGGTCTGGAACCTTTTTTGGAACTGCCAAAAGAATGGTGTCGTAGACAGGAAATAGATGATGTCCTCAACTTCCCCCTCTGCTGAGAGAGGCCCGTTCAGTCTTAAAGACTTTGACCTAGTCTTTCAAACTAGTGGTCCTCTCTGTCCCGAATGTGGATTTGGCTGCCTTCAAAAGAGTGATCTTTGTCTTTCAAATGCAGGTGGGCTGCTGAATCTTGTCCCGATGGGTTTGTTCCCTTATTTCCGTGGTAGTGAACCTATGGCAGGCATGCAAACTGGTGGCACGCAGAGCCCTCTCTGTAGAGATGCACGCCATCGCCCCAGTCCTAGGCCTTCAGCTGGGTTTTATAAAACCTTTTCGCTTTAGGCCTCCGCCGCCATGTACAAAAAAAAAAAAGTTCCATCAATCAATCAATTTCAACTTCTCAAGAGAAAAAAAAAAGATTTCGCAAAGTTGGAATTGATCGATTGAACTTTTTAGTCCCACCCAGTCTGCCGTTACCAACGCAGCCACGGCCACCCAGTGGGCCATGCCCACCCAATGGGCCACACCTACCCAATGGGCCATGCCCACCCGGCACACGACGCTACATAAGTGGGTTTTGGGTTGCAGTTTGGGCACTCGGTGTCTAAAATGTTCGCCATCACTGCCCTATCTTGTGCCCTGTAATGACTCGATGACTCTCAGAAAGAGCGCTAACGACCAGATGATTGCAAGGAATACAAATCCATTCTCCACCATTCAGTCAGAACTGAAGAAGCTTCTTGTGTCAGAAGCAAAATGTCTTCAAGGAGAAAGAAAACCCCAGAAAGTCCAGTTATCTTTTGAAGAAGCATCTTTGGGACAACCGTGACTTGAGAAACTTCATTTTTGAAATATATCATGTTTACGGTGTAACCTGCTTACATACTTATTTATATATATTTCATACTGTTAACTGCTCATCTCGCCCTGCAAATCCCTGTTTTGACCAGCCTTGATCCAGGAAAATGGGAAATGACATATATGAACAAGAAATAAACACTGGAAATAAAGACCATCATTAAGTTCCTGTCACGTGACTGCAGAGTGCTGCAAACTGCCAAGTTGGGAGGGACCTTGGAGGTCATCTAGCCCAACCCCCTGCTCAGGCAGGAAACCCTAGACCATTTCAGACAAATGGCTGTCCAGTCTCTTCTTAAAAACTTCCAGGCCAGTTGCCAAGTGCCCAAAATGTGATCACATGCACCTGGAGAGGTGGATCAGAACTTCTTATAAGTTCACAAGTACCATTGTTTTGGGTCCATCGGAACTTTGGTCGTAAATCGAGAACTCCCTGTATAGCCCACAGCTTCTCTTCTTCAATTTTACCTGGAATTTACTTCCACACAACATCCTCCCCCCCCCCCCGTCTCAGCTTCCAAGTACAGAGAATACGTCATTCAAAATCAAACCAGCTTTTATTCACAAAAACAGTTGTTCTGTTTAGCCCCAGAAGGAAAGTGAAAACTGCAGCTTTTCTGAGAGGTCCCTGTCCCTGTGAAGTTCCCAAAACTTTCCCTCCCCCTTGGTTTATAAAAACAGTACTCCCCAAAGGCAAACCAGGTGAGGTGGATAAAGAAGAGGGTTGTGAGGACGGGAAAAAAATCTCAGTGCAATGCAACGTGTTCCTCTAACAAAACATGGCCGACACCAGAGAGTGGCGATGAGGCAAGGCAACGGCTGTGAATACTTTTTGTGCAAATGAGCGGAAGACTCCGTGTTTGGAGAACTGACTCAGCTGGCCTGGGTGGACCAAACACCATCCTCCCCTCCAAGAAGTGGGGGGGCAAGAGGAAGGCCAACATTGTGCTTCTGGTGGCTAGGAATGGATTCTTAGAATTTGATAAGAAAGTCACCCCCCCATACCTCCCCCACCCCACCCCAATACATCTCCCTAAAAATGTTTCCCTATTACTGAGATCAAAAATGTGAGAAAAAGGTCAGGCAGTGCAAAGGTGAGTTGCAAACAAGAAAGCCGAGAACCCCTGGACGCTGCTCGGGCCCAACACAAAACAGAGAGAGATCGGCTGCAAGAGTTTGATGCAGCTTTTTGTTTTTGTTTTTTCCTTTTTAAAAAATCCAAACAGGTATATAAAAGCATCATTCCAGGAGATGAAAAGAACGGAGACTTCTGGGACAAACGGTCGCCCCCCCCCAACGTTCGGTTAGCAACGGAGACGGCAGCGAGAGCCCTTCCTCACGAGGTTCGGAGGCATCCATCCAGAGTGTGAAGCAAAAAAAAGCACCACTGCAAATGACACACCATTTCAAGCCACAAGGTCGGGGGAATAGATGGGGGTGGGGGTGGGGCTCAGGCCCCCACCCCTCTGCCCGAGGTGCTATTTGAAGGACCAGAATCCTGGCCGGGAATGATAGCAGCATTTAAGATGGGATCGGCTGTGGAAGGGGTGCTGATGTTTTTGGCTTTGCTTGGCTGGTCCAAGGAATGTCCCCCATTTGGGGGGTCTGGAGTTTTGCTGGTGGTCTGCATCTGCTCCTTGGGCCTAGTGGTCCTGCACTCTGCCGCTGGATTATGCGAGGCTTTCTGTTGAGGGGGGACCCCGTTCTCCTGGATGGGAGGGTGGTCGGCATTATTAGCCACGACTTGAGACGTTCGCTCCAGTTTGCGATGTTTGTGGAGGGTGGCCGGGGGCTGTGGGGGGGCGGCATCGGAAGGAACCAGAATGTTCCGGATGATCTCTGTGCAGACAGCTGAGGCCTGGCGGGTCTCGCGGCACAACTGGGACAGGCTGAGAAAGCCGTGGGGGAGATCCTGCACCACGCGCAGAGTGACTGGCTGACCGAGGGCCCTCAACCTCTGGGCAAACATCACGGAGTCGTCCAACATGGGATCCAGAGCACAGGCCTAAGGAGAAGAGATGGTTGGATCCTGTCAATCCTAGGATTCGGGAAATCCGTGCACTCCTAACCCTCACGTACCCTATTACAAGCTAGTTAGGCTTAGTGCAGGGGTAGGCAACCTTGGCTCTTTTATGACTCGTAGACTTCAACTCCCAGAATTCCTGAGCCAGCCATGCTGAGGGGAAAGGGAGAGGTTTCCATGCTGAGCCATGTTGGCTCAGGAATTCTGGGAGTTGAAGTCCACAAGTCATGAGGGGGCCATAGTTCCCCCATGCTGGCTCAGGAATTCTGGGAGTTGAAGTCCACGAGTCATGAGGGGGCCATAGTTCCTCCATGCTGGCTCAGGAATCCTGGGAGTTGAAGTCCACGAGTCATGAGGGGGCATAGTTCCCCATGCTGGCTCAGGAATTCTGGGAGTTGAAGTCCATGAGTCATGAGGGGGCCATAGTTCCCCATGCTGGCTCAGGAATTCTGGGAGTTGAAGTCCACGAGTCATGAGGGGGCCATAGTTCCCCCATGCTGGCTCAGGAATTCTGGGAGTTGAAGTCCACGAGCCATGAGGGGGCCATAGTTCCCCCATGCTGGCTCAGGAATTTTGGGATTTGAAGTCCACGAATCATGAGGGGGCCATAGTTCCCCCATGCTGGCTCAGGAATTCTGGGAGTTGAAGTCCACGAGTCATGAGGGGGCCATAGTTCCCCCATGCTGGCTCAGGAATTCTGGGAGTTGAAGTTCACCAGTCATAAAAGAGCCAAGGTTGCCTACCCCTGGGCTAAACAAACCATTCTTAAAAACAGCTCTCTCCAGTTTTTCATCTCCACCCCAGAAGTTAGTTGCCACCATATTGTGACCAAGTCATGGACAGTTCCCTGTTTCTCCTTCCCCAATTTCTCTTCTCTCCTCAGAGCCACTCCTGTCCTCCACCTACACTCAGCCCAAATTGTGCCCAGTGTAGACAGCCGCGATTTTTTTTTTTTGAACTGCACGCAAGCACCCACTAATGCTCTCAGAATGTCATGTCAGAATGACCTGGGACTTGGTAGGAAGAGACTGCCTAGGGAAAAAGCAGATAAGGGGTGTGTGTGTGTGTGGGAGGAAAATCCTCAGTTGCATAATGGGCAGAGAAAAAACCTTAGGAAGCTCTAATCCAGCAGGCTGTCAAAAGAAAAGCTGGGAGATTTGTCCTTTTAGACTTGCAAGATTGATATATCGGCTGTTCCCAGGTAGCAGACATGACCAGTGAACTAAGGCTACTTTATTGTAAGGCTACATTAACAGAAAGAGGGCGCGGTGGCCTAGTCTAGTGCAGGGGTAGGCAACCTTGGCTCTTTTATGACTGGTGGACTTCAACTCCCAGAATTCCTGAGCCAGCCATGCTGAGGGGAAAGGGAGAGGTTGCCATGCTGAGTCATGCTGGCTCAGGAATTCTGGGAGTTGAAGTCCACGAGTCATAAAAGAGCCAAGGTTGCCTACCCCTGGCCTAGTGGTTAAGACGCCGGGCTTGTCGACCGAAAGGTCAGAAGTTTGAGACCCGAGTGCCGCATGACGGGGTGAGTTCCTGCTCCTTGCTCCAGCTCCTGCCAGCCGAGCAGTTTGAAAGCATTCAAATCCAAACAGATAAATAGTGTGGATGCCACTCTGGTGGCTAGGCAACAGCATCCATGCACCTTGGCATATACTCATGCCGTCCACATTACTATGGAAGTGTCTTCCGACAATGCTGGTTCCCTCGGCTACGAAATGGAGGTGAGCAGCGCCCCCTAGAGTCGGGCATGACTGGACAGGGGAAACCTTTACATCAGTGGTTCTCAACCTGTGGGTCGGGACCCCATTTGGGGTCGAACGACCATTTCACGGGGGTCACCAAACAATGCAGTCCGCCATTTTTCCCCCCCTTTTCCTTAGCTGTGCTACTCCCTTTTATTCTATTGGCTTTTGAAAGCCAATAGAATAGACTCTCTTGAATAGAGTCTAATTCTTTCTTTCAAAAGCCCATGGAGCCCGCCAAAAGTCCCATTCTGCAAACGGTGCTGCACCAACTGAGTAGTCCTCGACTTAGGACCAGTTGAGTAGTCCTCAACTTACGACCGGGTGGGGGTCGCGGCATTAAAAAGATTGAGAACCACTGCTTTACATTAACAGAATCTCGCAAATCTGTAAGTACAAATCAGCTGCCGTCTCTTTTGACGACCTAAGTTAAGAAGATTCCTTTCTGAGTTTCTTTCTCTGCCCATTATGCAGCTGTGGGCTCCCCTCCACCTTGTCTAATTGTTCCCTAGACCAGGGGTCCCCAACCTTTTGGGCACCAGGGACCGGTTCCGTGGAGAGAGGTTTTTCCGCGGACCGGAGGATGCGTGGTTTCGTGTGCTGCCTGCCTCCCACGGATGCGGCTTTGCTTGTTTGTGCGGACCGGTTGCTGGCATGCTGTGGACCGGTGCCGGTCCAAGGCCCAGGAGTTGAGGACCCCTGCCCTAGGCAGTATCTCTTCCCTCTATCTCCCAAGGTCATTCCCACATGCCATTACACCCACCCACTGGAGAGCTACCTGGGTGAGGCTATGTGTGAGCTCGCTCCCCAACCTCCAGATCTACTCAACCCTACTTCCACCCACCCCCTTCCCACCCACCACACCTCCCTCCAGCCACACAGGCAGGTGTGTGCTCACCACGATGTGGATCGGAGGGAGTCCCTTCAACATTTCATCCGGGGCCAAAAGGGGCGACATGAACGGGTTCTTGACGATGGGCGACAGCTCTAAAGGCAGGCTGGCGGCAGGCTGGCTGGTGCGTAGCGGCTGGAAGCCGTCGGGAAAAACCAAGCCCTGGGCACTGCTGGAGGAGAAGGCCTCTTGGTCCTGGTCAGAGAGGAAAAAGGTGGGCTGATCTTCAGAGTCCGGAGTGGTAGAGCTTGTGTCTCGCTGGACATCGGAGGACCCTAAGAAATTTTGACACGTCTGGCTCTTCTTCCGGGAATCTTTGTGGCTGGCAAATGGCTTCAATTTCAGGCTCGTCTCCGATGCACTTTTCCTCAAGGCTTCTGCACAGAAGAAGAGAGGAACAGAGTTGGAAGGGACCTTGAGGTCTTCTAGCCCACCCCGCCCCCTTGCTAAAGCAGGAAACCCTACACCTTTTCAGACAAATGGACATCCAATCTCTTCTCAAGAACCTCCACCCCCAACTTCTGGTGGCAAGCTGTCCCACTGGTTAATTGTCTTCGCTGTTGTGAAATTTCTCCTTAGTTCTAGGTTGCTTCTCTCCTGGATTCGTTTCCATCCGTTGCTTTTTTTTCCTGCCTTCAGGTGCTTTGGAGAATAGTTGACCCCTTTGTGACAGCTGTTCAAATATTGGAAGACTGCTACTGTCTCACCCCTGGGCAAAGGCAGGGACCTTCAGCCCTGCTTCGAACCCCCCCCCCCGGCTCATGGCCTCTTTGGCCACCCAATTTTTGCAAGATTTCATTTATTAACAACCACCACCGGGCAAAAAATTAAGGAAGGCAGCCAAGTGAGTTTTGCCTCATTTTACGACCTTTCTTGCCTCGGTTGTTAACTGAATCACAGCAGTTGTTAAGTGAACCTGGCTTCCCCCATTGTCTTTGCTTGTCCGAAGGTTGCAAAAGGGGATCACGTGACACTCCACCACCACCACCCTGGGACACTGCGACCGTCGTAAATATGAACCAGTTGCCAAGCGCCGGAGTTTTGATCGCGTGACCACGGGGAGGTGGCAACGGTCATGAGTGCGAAAAATAGCCGTAAGTCACATTTTCAGTTCCATTGTAACTTCGAACAGTTGTACGTTGAGGACTACCTGCATTTATGTTTTAAGCAGCAGCACATAATTTAGGCAAGAGAAAAAACGGACAGTTCCTACCAAGTGCTGGAATTAGTAAGGCGTTTGGAAACATCGCCACCAGCTGGCCACGGGGCGCCTTACGGAGCCCCGGGTGGTTCTCCAATCTGATAATAATAATAATAAAGTGGGAAGGGACCTTGGAGGTCATCTAGTCCAACCTCCTGCTCAGGTAGGAAACCCTATACCATTTCAGACAAACGGCTGTCAGTAAAAAGTCCAGGAGGTCAGCAGGTCAGTAAAAAGTCATTAAAAAGTCAGCAAAAGTCAGAGGACCATCTGACAACAGTCTCAGAACGAGAAAGGGTTGGGACTGGACCTGACTGATTTGCCATTAGCCTATAGCTATCCAATGGATTTGCCATGGCAGTGGACCTCATTGCAATGGGTTATTAATGTAAGTGATGTTGTGTTATAATAATAATAATAATGATAAAGTGGGAAGGGACCTTGGAGGTCATCTAGTCCATCCTCCTGCTCAGGTAGGAAACCCTATACCATTTCAGACAAACGACTGTCCATTCTCTTCTTAAAAACTTCCAGTGTTGGAGCATTCACCACTTCTGGAGGCAGGTTGTTCCACTGGTTAATTGTTCTCATTGTCAGGAAATTCCTCCTTCGTTCTAGGTTGCTTCTCTCTTTGGTTAGTTTCCATCTGTTGCTTCCTGTCCTGCCTTCAGGCGCTTTGGAGAATAGCTTGACTCCCTCTTCTTTGGGGCAGCCCCTGAGATATTGGAACACTGCTATCATGTCCCCCCTCGTCCTTCTCTTCGTTAAACTAGACATACCCAATTCCAGCAACCGTTCTTTGTATGTTTTAGCCTCCAGTAGGTGCCATGTCTGTGGCGAGAAGAAGAGGAAGGCAGGAGCAGAGGAGCACAGAAGCTGCCAGCACGGAGCCCGGGGGAGGCCCTTCTTACCATTTACGGCACCCGCCCTGTTGCGCTTGCCTGTCTTGTCCATCAAAGAGCCAACCAAGGCGGACGCACCCAGGCGTAAGTCTCGGAACAGGAGGGCCGTGTTCCGGCGCATCATGTTCATGGGGTCCAACTTCTCCAAGGCCGAGTCATCAGGCTGCTCTGACTCCATTCCTTCGGGTTGGGAGGAACAAAAATGAGGGGGGGGGAGGGAAGTATTTCGATCAGGAGCATCCAACCCTGGCCACTTTAAAACTGGGGGGGCTTCAACTCCCAGAATCCCCCAGCCAGCCAGCAGCATGTAAGTCACGTGACCGTGGGGGATGCTGCAACAGTCATAAAGGTGAAAAAAGGGCCATAAGTCACGTTTTTCAGTGCCGTCGTAACTTCGAACAGTCGCTAAATGAACAGTTGTAAGCCGAGGACTACCTGTGCAGTACAGTTCGGGTGCCACCAGGGCTCCCAAAAATTCTGCGTGGCTTATAATGACAAGTAAGAAAAAATAAAATAAAAACAAACAAACAAAAAAAGGAACCTCAAGTGGCTTAAAGGAGGGGAAGAGAATTCTGGGAGTTGGAAGTCCACAGATCTTAAAGTGGCCATGCCTCAAAGCTTGGGAAAATAGCTAGGCCTTCATTATATCTTCTTGAATGTCATCAAGACAGGAGCCATCGGGATCTCTGGCCGGAAGCTATGCCAGAGGGAAGAAAAGGCACACTTCCTGGTTCCCCAAAGATGGCATTACTTGATCTATAGCAGGGGTCTCCAACCCCCCCGGTCTGTGGACCGGTACCGGGCCATGGCATGCCAGCAACTGGTCCACACAAACAAGCAAAGCCCCATCCGTGGAATGCAGGCAGCACACAAAACCACACACCCTCCGGTCCGTGGAAAAAACTCTCTCCACGGAACCGGTCCCTGGTGCCCAAAAGGTTGGGGACCTCTGATCTATAGGATCCAAAGTGCCCTCACTGTGCCCAACTTCATAAGCTGGGGAAGAACTTTTGAAGACTGAATGGCCATAACCAGGCCCTATGCCAATGGGGGGGAGGAGCTTTACAGCTGATAACCAGCACGTCAACACTGCTAACATCGGATGTTCTTGCTTTGACAACATATGGAGATGCAGCCTTTTTCTTTCTTATGCTTTACTCTTAGAATTAGATGATGCTGGGGGAGGAGGCGGAATGGGGTGGGAGTTAGTTAGACATAACATTATTGTACCAGTGTGTGAAATGAGAGATGATAAGGATTGGCGGGTAGCAGAACAGAAGGGAAAGCCTGCATTTCAAAGGAATTGGAGAATGTGATTTACGACTGTTAATTGAAGGAGGGAATTGTGCTTTGATACTATGTGCTCTGGGGAGGGGAATTCTGATTTTGGCTTCAACTATGTTACTGCCGAAGCTATGCTACTCCCATCAAGATTCTTTAAGGTAAACAATGCCTCAAAGTTCTTTGAAGAGTTTCCTCTGTCGGAACCATGACACAGCATTCTGAACTGCACCTGGAAGCCAACCTTGAAATATAGCTCATCCTCCTCCACCCTGGGGCCAATCCTTCCTAAAAATCCTCCAGTTCTGACACATCCTGGTGGCCCGTCGCCAGCCCCATCTTCCTCCCTTCTCGGCCCACCTCCTTAACCTCAAGGGCCCCCCTCCCCTTTTTCCAGCGAGCTTCCTCACCTGCGTAGGCACTGAGGCATTTGCACAAGACGCTGAGAGGCAGGAGCGGATCCAGCAGGGCGAGAAGCCGTGAAGGCGAGGCGGCAATCTCCAAGAGGGTGACGGGGTAGGCCGCCATGATCCCATCCGGCATCTTGATCCCAAAGGCGGCGGCACGCATGGAGACGGTAATGCAGAGGTTGCCGCCAGCGCTGTCCCCTGCAAGGCAGACCGTTTGCGCTGTGGAGCCTGCCAAGGGACGGAAAGGAAGAAGGGATCAGAACTGGGACGAAAAGAGAAAAGAAGCAGAAGGATCAAAGCGTCTGCGTTCTGCAGGCTGCGATCAACAAAATCAAAATGGTGGCCTGGATGTTACGATCTGACCGTTGTTCACCATCTGCTGAAAATCAGCTGTAATGTTCCCAGCTCTTTCGAGGATAAGAAACGCATCTGAAAGTGTCTGATGAATCTTACGATTGGAGTACACACACACATGTACAAAATTAGAAAATTCTCAGGGAAAAAAAGGGCAACATTCAACATCCCCCTATCCTGTTTGTCGCTGTCTCCCAGGCTCACTCACTTTTTATGACTGACTTTTTCCTCTTGTAGGTGGCCAAGCTATGAACTGATTCCCAACGAATGTAGATTTTGTATGGACAAATATAATGAAATATGAGACTCGTTTATACGAAATAGAGTAGGTTAAAGAAACAGGGAACTATCAAGGGCATTAGAAATATATGCAGACTTGAATCATATTTGCCTTAGACAAGTAGATATAGAGCAGGGGCCCTCCAACTTGGCCACTTTAAGACTTGTGGACTTCAACTCCCAGAATTCCCCAGCCAGCCATGCATGGGAGTTGAAGTCCACAAGTCTTAAAATTGGCCAAGTTGGAGGACCCTTGAGATAGAGCATTGAAACCATCTATTGTTGCAAGGATACCATTTTCTGTTGCATTTTTTTCCACTTCTTTTTAAACTCCTTTGCTTTTCGACAATGTACCTCTACCCTAATTATTAGTAAGGTTTATTGCACAGTCAGCCATGTGTTCAGACTTGATTTGGCATTTTTGTCCATCTATTCAGTCCTTCCCGAGGACCTGTGATAGGCAGATGTGGATGTTGGATGGAGTTTAGAGGTATTGTTGTGGGATAGAAGCTGCTTCGAGTAAATCGGCCTTTTGAAATTGGCCAATGGTGGATAATAATAATAATAATGATGATGATGATGATGATAAAGTTGGAAGGGACCTTGAAGGTCATCTAGTCCAACCGCCTGCTCAGGCAGGAAACCCTATACGATTTCAGACAAATGGCTGTCCAGTCTCTTCTTAAAAACTTCCAGCATTGGAGCATTCACCGCTTCTGGAGGCAGGTGGTTCCACTGGTTAATTGTTCTAACTGTTAGGAAGTTTCTCCTTAGTTCTAGGTTGCTTCTCTTCTTGATCAGTTTCCATCTGTTGCTTCTTGTCCTGCCTTCAGGTGCTTTGGAGAATAGCTTGACTCCCTCTTCTTTGGGGCAGCCCCTGAGATATTGGAGCATTGCTATCATGTCCCCCCTTGTCCTTCTCTTTGTTAAACTAGACATACCCAATTCCAGCAGCCATTCCTTATATGCTTTAGCCTCCAGTCCCTAATAATCTTTGTTGCTCTTCTCTGTACTCTTTCTAGAGTCTCAACATCTTTTTTACATCGTGGTGACCAAAACTGGATACAATATTCCAAGCGTGGTCTTACCAAGGCCTTGTAAAGTGGTATTAATACTTCACATGATCTTGATTCTATCCCTCTGTTAATGCAGCCTAGCACTGTGTTGGCTTTTTTGGCAGCTGCAGCACACGGCTGGCTCATATCTAAGTGATTGTCCACTAGGACTCTGAGATCCCTCTCACAGTTGCTACTATTGTGCAAGGTATCCCCTATACTATAGGTGTGTATTTGGTTTTTCTTGCCTAAATGTAGAACTTCACTTTTTTCACCATTGAATTTCATTTTGTTAGATTATGTTCTTTTCTTTTTCGGTTATTATTTCAAAAGCAGTAGAAAACAAAATAAAACACAGCAGGTAGTTCTCGACTTACAACTGCTCCTTTACTAACCATCCAAAGTTATAATGCCACTGAAAAAGTGACTTATCACGAGCGTTTTTTTTTTTCACATTAAAGGACTTTCACTGCATCCCTCTGATAAAATTTCAGATGCTTGGCAACTGACATGTATTTATGACGGTTGCAGCTTCCCCGGAGTCACGTGATCCCCCTTTGGTGACCAGGTTCACTTAGAAAAGTTGTAAAATGGGGCCAAATTTACTTCACTGTCTTGCTTAGCAGGAGAAATCTGGGGGGGGGGTCAACTGCGGCCATAAATCAAGGGCTACCTGTACTGCTTTGTCCTCTGGGCCTCCCCCCCCGGAGGGAGGGGCTGCGCCCCCCCAATTCCTTACCCAAGAGATGGCAGTTCTTAAGGGCCCAGCAGTAGGCAAAGAAGCATTCCTCCAACGCTCGTGGGAAGGGAGCCTCCGGGGACAGTGAGTAGTCGATAGAAAGAATAGGGGCCCCCAGTTCCTGAGCCCACGATTTCAGGTAAGGCTCGTGAGACTTGGACGTCTGCGCTACGAAACCGCCTCCGTGAAAGTGCACCAGGAGGTAGGGGGAGCGAGGCAAGGTCTTGGTCTTCCAGGGCAGCTCCAGGGCCAGAGTTCCTTCCGGCCGCATCAATTTGAGCAATTCCTCGCTGTCCTAGAGAGAAGAAAACAGATGGCAAGGTGAGATCTAGAGATCCCAAAGGCCCAGGGCCGGCCTCCTGTCGCTTGCTTCCTCCCTACGGTGCCAGCCCCAGAGGGCGAACTCTCCAGGGATCTTGTGACAAAGAGGAGCATCTGTTTCTGGGAAGCATCTTGACAAGCTGCAGAGGAGGGAAACAGGGAAGGCTGATTTGATCAGAATTGAGCTGGAAGGGACCTTGGAGGCCTTCTAGTCCAACCCCCTGCTCAAGGAGGAAACCCTATGCCATTTCTGATAAATGTTTGCCCAGTCTCTTCTTAAAAACCTCCCAATGTTGGTTCTCACTGTTAGGAAATTTCTTCTTAATTCCAGGTTGTTTCTCTCCTTGATTAATTTCCATCTATTCTATTCTATTCTATTCTATTCTATTCTATTCTATTCTATTCTATTCTATTCTATTCTACTCTACTCTATTCCATTTTCTATTCTATTCTATTCTATTCTATTCTATTCTATTCTATTCTATTCTATTCTATTCCTCCATTCCATTATTCTATTCCATTCCATCCTATTCTTATTCTATTCCTCCATTCCACTATTCTATTCTATTCTATTCTATTCTATTCTATTCTATTCTATTCTATTCTATTCCTATTCTTATTCTATTCCATTCCATCCTATTCTTATTCTATTCCTCCATTCCACTATTCTATTCTATTCTATTCTATTCTATTCTATTCTATTCTATTCTATTCTATTCCTCCATTCCATTATTCTATTCCATTCCATCCTATTCTTATTCTATTCCTCCATTCCACTATTCTATTCTATTCTATTCTATTCTATTCTATTCTATTCTATTCTATTCTATTCTATTCTATTCTATTCCTGTTCTGTTCTATTCTATTCTATTCCTATTCTTTCAAAATGAGGTTTCCTTATTGGCCAAATATAGTTTTGGCTTCGTCAACAGGAGGGAACAGTCCCCAGACTGCTACGCTTTGAACATGCTATTCCTCAGCCTGCTGGACAACTTTCACACCTGTCCATACCTGTCCTTCACGCAGCTCGTGGGAAATGAGCCTCATCTGGACGGCTCCTGGCCCGGTGTGGGCCACCGGAGGTGTGATGGTGACGCTCAGTTGGGGGTTAGAAACCAGAGGCAGGTCAAAGGAATGGGGTGGGACCAGCAAGGCTCGGGACAGCCGGACCTGAGAGGAAGCCATGCTGGCTAGCGACTGCAGAGGGAGGGAAAGATAAAGCAGAGATTAAACAAACATTGGCCTGTCCTCAAATATCCAGTATCTTTCCATAAGGAGTCGATGCACGTCCCTCGTTGAGGAACAAGGCGCCAGGTTATGGACTTTAGATACCCTCCACGTTTTCCTTCTCTGTCCATGAGGACCCTTATTTGACACTTGCAGGCTGTCCTCGACTTACAGCAGTTCATTTAGTGACCGTTCAAAGTTGCAACGGCACTGAAAAAAAGTGACTTATGACCATTTTTTGCATCCACGACCGCTGCAGCATCCCCCTGGCAACATGATCCAAAGCTAAATGCTGGGCAACTGGCATGTACTTATGACGGTTGCAGATCCTGGTGTGTGTGTGTGTGTGTGTGTGTGTGATGTGACCCCCTTTTGCGATCTTCTGACAAGCAAAGTCCATGGGGAAGCCAGATTCACTTAACAACCGGGTCACTCACTTAACAAGTGCAGTGATTCACTTAACAACTGTGGCAAGAAAGGTCGTAAAATGGGGCAAAGTCCGCTTAACAACTGTCTCGCTTAGTGACAGAAGTGTTGGACTCAGGTGTGTTGGTAAGTCGAGGACTATACCTGCATAGTAAAAGTTATAGCAAAAGTTGTGTTTATCCTTATGAATCTTTTTCAGATCTGCTCTTTCTTCTGATTTATCTCTCTTTTTTCCCCCCCATGAAAATATTGTTGGTGGGGATCCGGTGAGGGACGCCCCTTCCCAGCAGCAGGACTCACCGCCAGCAATTCCGTCTCAGTGAGGTTCCAAAACCTCTTCCAGAAATGGACATCCAAGTTCTGAGTGATGCGCTCAAACTCCGATCCTCGCAGTTCAGGGTCAATGGCAAACTTCCCACTCATGAAGAGAGAGCCAGCCGCCACGCCTACAGGAAGGAAGGAAAGAAGGAAGGAAGGAAGGGAGGAAGGAAAGGAAGGAGGGAGGAAGGGAGGGAAAGAGGGAGGAAGGAAGGAAGGAAGGAGAGAGGGAGGGAGGGAGGGTCAGGGAAGGGAGAGAGGGAGGGAGGGAGGAAGGAAGAAGAGAGGGAGGAAGGGAGGGAGGGAGGGAGGAAGGAAGAGGGAGGGAGGGAAGAAGGGAGGAAGGAAGGAACAGTCAGGGAAGGGAGGAAGGAAGGAAGGAAGGAACGGTCAGGGAAGGGAGGAAGGAAGGAAGGGAGGGAGGGATGGAGGGAGGAAGGAAGGAACAGTCAGGGAAGGGAGGAAGGAAGGAAGGAAAGAAGGAAGGAAGGGAGGGAGGAAGGAACGGTCAGGGAAGGGAGGAAGGAAGGAAGGAAAGAAGGAAGGGAGGGAGGGAGGAGGGAGGAAGGAAGGAACAGTCAGGGAAGGGAGGAAGGAAGGAACGGTCAGGGAAGGGAGGAAGGAAGGAAGGAAAGAAGGAAGGGAGGGAGGGAGGGACGGAGGGAGGAAGGAAGGAACAGTCAGGGAAGGGAGGGAGGAAGGAAGGAAAGAAGGAAGGAAGGGAGGGAGGAAGGAAGGAACGGTCAGGGAAGGGAGGAAGGAAGGAAGGAAAGAAGGAAGGGAGGGACGGAGGGAGGAAGGAACAGTCAGGGAAGGGAGGAAGGAAGGAAGGAAGGGAGGGAAGGACAGAGGGAGGAAGGAAGGAAGGAAGGAAGGAGAGAAAGAGAGAGAGAGATCAGAAAAGCTTCCTGCCTGATTACATCCAGAGAAATTCCACATTAGGGGAAGGAAAAGATCTGCAAGGGCAGTGCAACCAACACGTAACTCTTACTGTAGGGTGCATCTGAGTCCTGATACTCACCGATGCCGGAGATGTTCCGTTTGTAATTCTCCCCAAAGGAGACCAGGCTGATGGCGATGGTCTGCAGAAAAGGCCGGATCGAAGGAGCAAACTGCAGGATCAAGAATTGACAAGAGAAATGGTGAGCAATCCTGCTTTTTTTCCCCTGACATTTGAACCCAGACTGTCCACAGCTCCAAGCCAAGAGCTGAATGTACTTCTTTTATTTATTTATTCGCGTCAGAAGCGTATCCATTAAAAGAAGGCAAAATACAGGGTATACCCTAAAACTGAAACTGTAAAATACAAGATTAAAATGTGCACAAATCAAACAGGTCTTGCCCAGGAACTAGCAACATCGTGTTGCCTGTCGCGCTGCGCTGAGGTCCTCAAGTGCACACCGATTAGGACACAACTGCAAAGAGCACACATGTGTGTGTTGTTGTATGTGTTGTTGTCTGTATGTCACCACAACTGCAAAGAGCAGAAGCAACCGGATAGCACCGTTTGTTCAGAGAGTCCCTGGATCTTGTTCCCCGGCAATAAATAAATAACGCCTTGATTTATTACTGAAATAATAGTAATTCTGGACTTACAACTTTTTCTTTCATGACCATTCAAAGTTACAACGGCAGTGAAAAAAAGTGCTTTAGGACCATTTTTCACACAGCATCCCCGAGGTCATCAGTGTAAAAAAAGGTTCTTAAGTCGCTTTTTTCAGTGCTGTTGTAATTTCAAATGGTCATTAAATGAACTGTTGTAAGTTGAGGACTATTTGTAGACAGGAACTGATCGATCCTTGAAGTCTTTTCTTCCCTCCCAGCTGGACTAAAACAACCAACAACAGATTGATTCCTTTTGGAGGGATACAGTCAGTGATGGGATTCAGCCGGTTCGCACCAGTTCGGCAGAACCGGTAGCTAATTTTTGGTTGCCCAGGCCCAGAACGGACTTCCGGAAGTGGCATCCACACGGAGAACCGGTTGTTCCCATATTTGAATACCACTGCTTCCTCCTTCCTTCCTTCCTTCCTTCCTTCCTTCCTTCCTTCCTTCCTTCCTCCCTCTCTCCCTCCCTCCACTTCCTTCCTTCCTTCCCTCCCTCCCTCCCTCCCTCCCTTCCTGTGGTGGGATTCAGCTGGTTCCCACCACTTTGGCAGAATCAGTAGCTAATTTTTGGTTGCCCAGGCCCAAAATGGACTTCCGGAAGCGGCATCCACACAGAGAACTGGTTGTTCCCATATTTGAATCCCACCACTCCTTCCTTCCTTCCTTCCTTCCTTCCTTCCTTCCTTCCTTCCTTCCTTCCTTCCTCCCTCTCTCCCTCCCTCCACTTCCTTCCTTCCTTCCCTCCCTCCCTCCCTCCCTCCCTTCCTGTGGTGGGATTCAGCTGGTTCCCACCACTTTGGCAGAATCAGTAGCTAATTTTTGGTTGCCCAGGCCCAAAATGGACTTCCGGAAGCGGCATCCACACAGAGAACTGGTTGTTCCCATATTTGAATCCCACCACTCCTTCCTTCCTTCCTTCCTTCCTTCCTTCCTTCCTTGCCTTCCTCTTCCTTCCTTCCCCCCTCCTCCTTCCTTCCTTCCTTCCTTCCTTCCTTCCTTCCTTCCTTCCTTCCTTCCTTCCTTCCTTCCTTCCTTCCTTTCTTCCTTCCGTCCTTCCCTCCCTCCCTTCCTGTGGTGGGATTCAGCCGGTTCCCACCACTTTGGCAGAATCAGTAGCTAATTTTTGGTTGCCCAGGCCCAGAACGGACTTCCGGAAGCGGCATCCACACAGAGAACCGGTTGTTCCTCTATTTGAATCCCACCCCTGGATACGGTGCTGTTTAGCTGGACAAAGAAATCCCACAGCCCCTTTTGACATTTTCTGCCAGCCAGGACGCTGGATTAGATCTGAGACAGGGCTGGCTCCAAATTCAGCTGGGAACACACACAAATGCACAAACAACATGCTGCAGCAAGGCTGAAGAGTGACAGGCAAGAGTTGGGGACAGGAGGGGTGTGTGTGTGTGTGTGTGTGTGTGTGTGTGTGTGTGTGTGTAAAACATAGGAATGTGGCTGACCATTCAGGGCCAGCTGGTCAAGGCTGCAACTTGTCCGGGGGGAAAAGTGGGGAAAAAAAATTAAACAGGAAGGTCAGAGCTGCGTCTGGTTGACAGGGAAGCTACGTCTAAGGCTATGACAATGCAAGCGGCAACTCTCTCTCTCTCTCTCTCTCTCTCTCTGTGTGTGTGTGTGTGTGTGTCTATGTGTGTTGGGGAGGAGATTCATCACTGATAGGAAATAACATGAGCTCTGACGTCTGTAGAGCTGTGATTTATCAACCTTGGCCACTTTAAGAGACTGGACATCCAACTCCCAGAATTCTCCAGCCAGCATGGCTGGCTGGGGAATTCTGGGAGTTGAAGTCCAGCCCTCTTAAAGTGAGAAAACACTGCTGTCAAATTAAACGTTCAGTGATAAACATGTCTTCTCTCCAGGAAACGATGACTTAATATTGTACACCGCCCGGAATTACTATGTATGACTTGGGTGGCTGTGTAAATTTGTTTAACAAATAATAATAATATTAAAATAAACTGACTTCCCCAGGATGTTTTTTTTGCCCTCCACCAAACTATTTCAGCAAATTGCTTTGTTTCCTCAACCAGTCTCATGTTTGCGTGCGTTCCAAAAAAAGGAACAAACAGAAGCTCTTTCCTGGAGGAAAATACCACCAAAAACAAGGGTCTCCGTTCTTGGCAACTTTACGACCTGTGGATTTCAACTCCCAGAATTCCTCAGCCAGCCGCGGAATTCTGGGAGTTGAAGTTCACGAGTGGTAACGTTGCCAAGGTTGGAGACACCCCCCCCCCCCCGACCTAAAGTGAATCAACAGAAAGAAAGCAAAGTCTAGTTTCTCTTAAGAAATCCATCTGGGCAGGAGATCAAAGAGATTAAATCCCAAACTTGGTTAAAGCGATCAGCTCAGAGGCCGGGAGAGAGGGAAGGAAGAACCGTGCAAATTTCTTTGGGTTTGCCAATTACTCTCTCTCTCTGTGTGTGTGTGTGTGTGTGTGTGTGTGTGTGTGTGTGTGTGTGTCTAAAAATAGGACTCATCGGGATGCATTTCGAGACAGCAAAAAATATATAACATTTTTGATTTTAGGCTTTGCTGATTAAGCTAGTCTGTCGCGATAAACGTGGCTTGTCCTTGTTAAGGTGGTCAAGTAAAAAAAGCTGAGGTTGCAATTCTATCTTGTATTTTACCGCGCTGAAAAAAAGTTGGAAGACGAAGTTTCCCCCCCCCCCTTTCTTTCTTTGCCCTACGCTTTCCCTTTCTCCCTTTTCCCATTTCCCCACTATTTTTATTTTCACTTGTATTTTAGTGATTAAGGCAGGGGTCCTCAACCTTGGCAACTTTCAGACTTGTGGACTTCAACTCCCAGAATTCCTCAGCTGGCTGAGGAATTCTGGGAGTTGAAGTCCACAAGTCTGAAAGTTGCCAAGGTTGAGGACCCCTGGGTTAAAGCACCAGATTAGAAAGCAGGAGACAGTGAGTTCAAGTTCCGTCTTAGCTATGAAAGCTGGCTGGGTGACTTTGGGCCAATCACCAGGTGACTGGGAGTTCTAGTCCGACCTGAGCCATGAAAGCTCATTGGGTGACTTTGGGCCAATCACCAGGCGATTGGGAGTTCTAGTCCCACCTGAGCCGTGAAAGCTCATTGGGTGACTTTGGGCCAATCACCAGGCGATTGGAGTTCTAGTCCCAACTGAGCCATGAAAACTCCTTGGGTGACTTTGGGCCAATCACCAGGCGATGGTGAGTTCTAGTCCCACCCGAGCCATGAAAGCTCCTTGGATGACTTTGGGCCAATCACCAGGCGATTGGAGTTCTAGTCCCAACCGAGCCATGAAAACTCCTTGGATGACTTTGGGCCAATCACCAGGCGATTGGAGTTCTAGTCCCACCTGAGCCATGAAAGCTCCTTGGGTGACTTTGGGCCAATCACCAGGCGATGGTGAGTTCTAGTCCCACCCGAGCTATGAAAGCTCATTGGGTGACTTTGGGCCAATCACCAGGAGATGGTGAGTTCTAGCTTTGTCTTAGGCAAGTAAAACCAGCTAGGGGACTTTGGGCCAGTCCGTCTCAGTGCAGCCCACCTGACAGAATTGTTTGTGTGGGGAAAACACACAAGGTTGGATATGTTCGGCACCTCGAGTTATTTGTAAAAACAATAAAGGCAGGATTGTTGGATATGCCTGCCCCCTTATTTGTAAAGATAATAAAAGGCAGGGCACAAACATACCTACCTACCTACAATAATCCTAATAAAAACACGTCTTCTAAAAGAAAGAGAGGCAAAACCCTTGGATCTCCCCCCCCCACACACTTCTCCAATTCTGCAAGATGGCTGCCTCAGTGGTCCTTACCTGGAAGCCCATGCAGCGCCCGTAAAAACAGCCCTTCTGCATCGTCATGTATTCCTGGAGAAACTGTCTCGAAAGGCCCCGATCCTCATGGTTGAAGAGGTACCCGGGCCGGTTCTGAGTCAGCAGATGCTGGGCTAGGTAGACCAAGGCCCGGAGCTGGGTCAAGGCCACACAGTACGCTTCCAGTTCGGCGCAATTGTGGTTGGTCCGGAAGAAGATGCTGCGGCGGTTGGCGGCCACGTAGCGGCTTTTGTGGATGATGTGAGCCACGCAGCAGCGCACCGTCTGGGCCAGGCTGCGGTAGCCGTTGGCCGGCGTGTGCTCGTCCAGGTCAAAGACGTGGTAGACGGCGGAGAAGTGGTCCAGCATCGGCTCAAGGCTCCGGGCATGTTCTTGGATGGTGGTGAAGGTGGCCAGGAAGCGTTGACCTGTCTCGGTGGGGACGTTCTGGAAGAAAGCCACGTTATCCTCGGCCAACATCAGCAAGGTTTGGAACAGCGGCCGGGCGTCCATGGTGCTGGAACTGGGGGAGCCTAAGGTGGGAGGAAGAGAAAGGATGAAACCGTTCCAAGAAGAAAGGAGAGAAGAGATTGAGGAGGCCACTTTGGAGGCAGAAGGACAGTGTGGTCCCAACTCCTAGCTTTTTACTTACATTCTCCCGCCTCTGTCTCAGCTAAGTACTCCATAAAGCCCACGTAGCTTCTGGAAGACTGCTGGCCCTATAAGGGGAGGGGGCATGGCTTAATACAGCAGCAATCCCCAGCCCCCAACTCTTCTCCCCCCCTTTGAGTAGACAGGAGACCCTACTAAACAGGACGAAGCAGGAGAGGACAATTGGTCACAGAAATGAGGGAAAGTTTAGGCCAAGGGTGTATGTGTGTGTGTGTTTGTGTGAGCTGAAGTCCACAAGTCTTCAAAATCGACAAAGCTTGGACGCAGCCTCCGGCTTAGCCCATACCTTATAAATCACATTTCTCAACCTGTTTTTACTTTCCTTCCTCAACGCTCCACAAAAAAAAGTACAACTGACCATATTTTCCCTCCCGTGGGAGGGAAGGCGCAAACCACAACACACAACAATTTTTTTTTTTTTTTGCCAGATTGCCTTTTGCTCTTTCCCACCACCCCAGTGCGAGACACACACGTACCCCCCCCCTCTCTCCCCACGTCCTCCTCCCAGCCCCATTTCAGCTCCTCAGGAACAGCAATAGTCACGGTGGTCTAGTTTCAGACCCTGGAAGACCCTTCTGTTCCCCTCCTCACAAACCCCCAAAGAAATTTACGAGCTCTCTGCCAGGGAGACCCACCCTTCATCCCGCCAAGGAGACAAAGATAAATGACTCCCCTTTTGGAGTTCGGGAAAGGAGCAAGGGCGGGCATCTCTGCCCACAGCTGAGACCCTTCCCCATTTTGCTAACAAATCTCCCCGTGCAAGGTCACCTCACCTCAGGAGGGGGGGGGGGAATCCTGTGCAAGGACAGGACACTCACCCGGTGTCAACTAACCGGCATCCAGCCTTCTGGTGAAGGGATCGAGTTGCCTTACAAGCACCGGAGGCTGACTTAAAACACCGCTGGAGAAACTGACTCCGCCTTGGAGGACGAAGAGGAGGGGTCAGTCCAGAAGAGGGGGGGAGGAGGAAAGCAGAAGGAGCCCCCCCCTGCTCCCCCAGGTTTGCTGGGTGAAGGGGTGCAGGCTGAAAGGAGATGTCTGAATTTAACCCACCACAAGGAGATCTGGAGACTGAGATAAACAGGATGAAAGGACGGGCATCCATCTCTCTCTCTCTCTCTCTCTCTTTCTCTCTTTCTCTCCTCTACATGAACTTACTGTTTTTCCAGAGAAGACGATCATCTCCTCCGGAGACAGGAATTTTGGGGCAGGAGATCAGCTTTCCTCTGAAATGCCATTTCTGGAATACACGAGGTGCCACCAACAGGTCTTTAAGAAGAAATCTGGGTGCCCATTGTGGGGAGGGGGGGGGGACCAAGGGGAAGCGAAAAGTTTGGGGCGCAGGAGGATCAGGAATGATCAAATGGGGGAGACGGTTTGGGAAAGAAAACCCGCCAGACTCTTAACAGGTGGTCCTCGGCTTACGACCACGACCGATCCCAACGTTTCTGTGGCTAAGTGAGACGTTTGTTAAGTGAGTTTTGCCCCGTTTTACAACCGTTCTTGCCATTATTTGTGAGGCGAATCACCGCAGCTGTGAAGTTAGTATAACAATGGTTAAGTGATTCTGGCTTCCCCCCCAGTGACTTTGCTTGTCAGAAGATTAAATAATAATAATAATAATAATAATAATAATAATAATAATAATAATAATAATAATAATAATGCACCATTGTTGCTACTTTGTCATACTACAGGCAGCGGCATGACAAAGTAGCAACAATGGTGCATTGGAAGATCTGCAAGAAATATCATTTGCCTGCAAGCAAGAACTGGTGGGATCATAAAATAGAGAAAGTCATAGAAAATGGTAAAATTAAACTGCTCTGGGACTTCAGAATTCAAACAGACAAGCACCTGCAACGTAACACCCTGGACTTAACAACTGTCGATAAGAAAGACAAAAAAGTCTGGATAGTGGACGTGGCAGTGCCTGGAGATAGCAGTATAGACGAGAAAGAACGGGAGAAGATAACAAAATACAAAGACCTACAAATAGAAATAGAAAGACTGTGGTAAAAGCAAGCAGGGTGGTACCAATAGTAATAGGTGCCTTGGGTGCAATCCCAAAACCACTGGAGCACCACTTGCACACCATTGGCATTGACAAATTTGTCATTAGTCAATTGCAAAAGGCGGCTTTACTAGGAAATGCTTCCATCCTGCGACGATATCTGTAATACCATCAAACATCCACATCTGCCTATCCCGGGTCCTTGGTAGATAGGCAAGGATAGGTAGATAGGTAGACAAAAATGCCAAATCCAGTCTGAACATCTAGTTGACTGTGCGATGATCAACAATAATAATAATAATAAAGTTGGAAGGGACCTTGGAGGTCATCTAGTCCAGCCCCCTGCTCAGGCAGGAAACCCTATACGATTTCAGGCAAATGGCTGTCCAGTCTCTTCTTAAAAACTTTCAGTGTTGAAGCATTCACCGCTTCTGGAGGTGGGTTGTTCCACTGGTTAATTGTTCTGTCAGGAAGTTTCTCCTTAGTTCCAGGTTGCTTCTCTCCTTGGTTAGTTTCCCTCCGTTGCTTCTTGTCCTGCCTTCAGGCGCTTTGGAGAACAGCTTGATCACAAAAGGTGATCCCACCACCCCAGGATGTTGCAGCCATCATAAATATGAGTCAATTGCCAAGCATCTCCATTTTGATCACGTGACCACAGGGAGGCTGCAACAACCCTAAGTGCAAAAATAGGTCCTAAATCACTTCCCCCCTCCAGTGCTGTTATAACTTAGAACGGTCCCTAAATGGACCGTTGTTAAGTCAAGGCCTACCTGTACTGTAGAGAATAGAGAGCTCAAATTCTGTGGCTTGGAAAACACTCTCCTACAGGTAATCCTCGATTTACAGCCATTAGTAAATCAAGGACTACCTACACACATCTCTCCTATAAGGCTCAATCATTTTTCCCATCAGCTGAGCACAGGTATCTGAGGGGCTGCCACAAGGCAGAGGGGGCCGGGTTGTTCACCAAAGCACCAGACGGCAGGACGAGAAACAACGGTTGGAAGCTAATCAAGGAGAGAAGCAACCTGGAATTAAGGAGAAACTTCCTGACAGCGAGGACAATCAACCAGTGGAACAGCTGGCCACCAGAAATCATAGACTTAAAAACTGGAGATTTTTAAGAAGAAACTAGACAATCACCTGTCTGAGATGGTATAGATTCTCCTACTCGAGCGGGGGGCTGGACTAGGAGACCCCCCAAGGTCCCTTCCAGCTTTATTCTAGTCTAATTTGCAAAGAGAAAGTTGATCAGACACTTGCCCCACATCCCCTGCATTCCAAGCCCATGAAGTTTAGTTCTAAGAAAAGAGGAACTGTGTTGTTTTCATCCCTATACAAAACAGGGCCCTTTCTCAATACCTGGCACGCTGCCTTAGCTCTTGACCCTCTTCCGTTCACGAGTCCAGATCAAATGAAGAGGAATCAGGTTTTTTTTAAGTGGGGCACATTCTGCCCCACGGATGGGTAGCTGCAGTTGAGGGGCTGCAGCTACCCATGGTGGGGAAGCAATTGGAGCCTTTATAGAGGGACCGGATTACGTCCGCAACTCAGCCCAAAGTTTCGGAGGCTAACACTGGTTAAAGTGAATTTTGTCCTGTGTTACAGCCTTTCTCGCCCCCGTTGTTAAGTGAAACGCTGCAGCTGTTCCGTGAGGCACACAGTTGCTAAGTGAATCTGGCTTCCCCATGGTCAAAAGGTCGCAACAGGGAATCCCATGGTCCCGGGGATGCTGCGACCGTCATAAATATGAACCAGCTGTCAAGCATCCGAATTTTGGTCCCCCGTTCGTGGGGATGCTGCAATGGTCGTAAGTGTGAAAAATGTTCATAAATCCATTTTTCCCCCGTGCTGTTGTAATTTTGAAGGGACTACCTGTAACCTCACACTGCTTTTTAACCAGAAGGAATAACTATTCTAGAATTGGACAGGTTTGGAAAGGGATCCTGATTCTTTTAATTCATTGGGCTTTCAATCTCGAAGCTCCATGTTGATCTTCCCAACATAAAGAATACAGAAGGACAGGGTTGGGAGGAACCTTAGAGATCTTCTAGTCCATCTCCCTGCCCATGTAGGAAATCTTATCTCGTTCCAGAAAAATGGCTTTTGAACCTCTTTTTAAAAAAAAACCTGATGGAGCACTCACAACTTTCGGTGGCAAGCCGTTCCACAGATTAATTGTTCTCACTGTTAGGAAACCTCTCCTTAATTCTGGACTGGATCTCTCTTTAATGATCTTCCAACCCATTACTTCTTGTCCTGCCCTCAGGGGCTTTGGAGAACAAGCTGACACCCCCCCCCTTCTCTGTGACAGCCCCTCAAATATTGGAAGGCTGCTATCTGGAGAAGAGGGAAGAAAAGGACGGATTTACATTTTAAGCCTGGTTCAATATCTATTACGTACTTTAATATTCATTTCTATCCATTTAAAGGATTTTTGATTTGTACAGGTAGCCCTCCGCTTATGACAGTTGGGGTTATAAGCATGCTGGCTGGAGAATTCTGGGAGTTGAAGTGACCCATCTCCAATCGCCAAGGTTGAGAAACACGGGTCTACACCCACTACAGTCCCCAAACCCAAACTCAGAGAGTGTGTTTGCCTTAAATAGGCAGGACGGGCCATTCCTTGGGGGTCTTCTGGAAGGAAAAAAAAAAAGAAAAGATTATGCTTTCTTATCCCACCTTCCCAATTTGTCACGCAGGCCTATATATCAGCAGCTGGAAAGCTGAGCCGGGGTTCATCTCCTTCCTTCTGCTTTGCATGTGTGGAAACCCTGCCATTAAAAAAACAAACAAAACCCAAACACAGCCAGACTCCCAGGAATGGGTGCAATTGTGATGTCACAGGTGTCGGCCAATCACCGCTGTGGACAGCCAGCTTCTGCCACATCCAACCAGGTGAGATTCTCATAATTCACGAATGAACCGCCGGATCCTTCTCCACGGAGCCAATGGGTGGGTTGCAATGCCGTCTCAGAACAGACGGAAAGCTACAGATCGCCGATTCCTCCAAGCAAGCTACAGTTATGCAACAGGTGTGCTTCCACAGAAGCACAACCTATGATAGTCACCTAAGGCTAGACGCCCTTTAAGAGGCACACCAGGTACTGTCAGAAAATCAAGGCTTCATCGCTGTTTATGATTACCATTAATTAGAAGCACCCAGAAGGATAATTTGCCACAACTGTGCTGTGCGGGTAGACAAATAGAGACCTTATCTATGGAGAAGATGTTGCACACATCACAGTTGGCTTCCTCAGCTATGAAAAGTCGTGGGTACTGAATTCCAAATCCCAGGAAGGAATGCATATAGCTGGAGCCACTTGGTGTAGTGGTTAGGGCACCAAACTAGAAACTGGGAGACGGTGAATTCTAGTCTTGCCTTAGGCATGAAAGCTGTCTGGGTGTCTTTGGTCCAATCACCAGGAGACGGGGAGTTCTAGCCTCGCCTTAGGCATGAAAGCCATCTGGGTCAATCACCAGGAGACTGTTGGTTCTAGTCTTATCTTAGGCATGAAAGCCAGCTGGGTGACTTTGGGCCAATCACCCGGAGATGGTGAGTTCTAGTCCCACCTTAGGCATGAAAGCCTTCTGGGCCAATCACCAGGAGACAGGGAGTTCTAGACCAGCGGTTCTCAACCTGTGGGTCGGGACCCCATTTGGGGTCGAACGACCATTTCACGGGGGTCACCAAACAATGCAGTCTGCCATTTTCCCCCCCTTTTCCTTAGCTGTGCTACTCCCTTTTATTCTATTGGCTTTTGAAAGCCAATAGAATAGACTCTCTTGAATAGAGTCTAATTCTATTGGCTTTCAAAAGCCAATGGGAATTGTCCAGGCTATCTCTGCCCTGCTGAGCCCGCCAAAAGTCCCATTCTGCAAACGGTGCTGCACCAGTTGAGTAGTCCTCGACTTACGACCGGTTGAGTAGTCCTCGACTTACGACCGGTTGGGGGTTGCAGCATTAAAAAGGTTGAGAACTACTGTTCTAGACCCACCTTAGGCATGAAAGCCATCTGGGTCAATCACCAGGAGACTGTTGGTTCTAGTCTTATGTTAAGCATGAAAGCCAGCTGGGTGACCTTGGGCCAATCACCAGGAGGCGGTGAGTTCTAGTCCTGCCTTAGGCATGAAAGCCAACTGGAGGAACTTTAAGCCAGTCCTCCCTCGTTCGGTCCAATCTACCTCACGGGATTGTTGCTGTGGAGAAAAGTGGAGGAGGAAGGTGTGTTGGATATATTGCTGTCTCGAGTCACTTGTATAAATAATAAAGGCAGGATATAAACAAACAAACAAACAAACTAATGATGGTGTCCTCTTCCTGGAAAGATGCAACATTACCATACAGAAGCGGACAACAATTCTGATCCCTGCCTTAATTCTCTCCCACGGCATCCGCTATGTAAGAATCAGGAGAGCAAGATGAAATCCCAAGTGGAGATCCCAGGCCGCCTGGAGAAACAACACAGTATCAGAGTTGGATGGGACCTTGGAGGTCTTCTAGTCAAGCAGAAGACCCTCTACCCTTCCAGGCAAAGGGTTGTCCAATCTCTTCTTAAAAACCTCCAACGCTGCACAACGTCTGGAGGCAAGCGGTCCCGCTGGTTCATTGTTCTAAGGACCCCATTTCTCTTTCTCGGAAAATGACCAATTGGCCCGAACTGACACATCCACGGGGACGAATTCCACCGGTGCCTGGCAGTTCCAGAAGTGGAATTTAGCATGGGCTGAGTCACCCCTTTGGCAGCTGGAAGAAAACAACATCTCGGGGAACTGGGGAAAACTCTTGTTTCTACAGCTGGTGGGGGTGGATTAGGGCAGGGGCCATAAACAGCGAAGGGGGCTGTCAGCACATTTCCCGCGAAACCGAAAGGAAGGCAGGCAGTGGGCGAGAGGGCAAGGGACAGGCTGATAGGGAGGATGGCCCAATGGGTTGGGAAACCTACAGAACACAGACGTTAACGCCAATGCTTCTCCATCCTCAAAGCCCTGGGACCCTTTGCCCTTTGACCTCTGCTGCCAAGAAGGGAAAGAAGGGAAGCAAACAAAACAAGGACAAGACTGTGCAAACTTTCTAAGTTACAAGAACCGGCACTAAAGTTTTTCAGACATAACGACCAATAAAGGGGAATACTCGTAGCACAGGGTTGAACTGTGGGGTCCTTGGGAGCGCTCTGAGCTTGGTGGTTTTCTCGCAGACGTTTCATCGCCCAACTAGGTAACATCATCCGCCCCGGTGTTAGCTTGTGCGATGTTACCTAGTTTGGCTCCTGAAACGCCTGCGAGAAAACCACCAAGCTCAGAGAGCACCAAGGACCCCACACTTACGACTGTGGCAGCATCCCGGTGCTCACGGGATCAAAATTCAGAGCCTTGGCCACTGACTCCTATTTGCGACGGTTGCGATGTCCTTGGGTGTGGGGGTGTGGGTGTGTTATGTGATCACCTTTTGTGGTCTTCCGACGAGCAAAATTGGTAGGAGAAGCCGGAGGCGTTGAACAACCGGATTACTAACTTAACAGTTGCAGTGCTTCCCTTAACAAACGTGGCAGGAAAGGTAACCAAATGGGGGTAAAGCTCACTTAGCAACGGTCTTGCTTAGCAACAGAAGTGCCGGGGGCTCAATTATGATTGTAAATCGAGGACTATCTGTATTCTGAGTCAGGGTTCAAGCCGTCGTGTCAGCTCCACCCAGCCTTGGGCTTGGAGTGAATATTCTGCGCCTGTCCTTCAAAGCATCCCAATTTTCTGCCCCCCCCCCTTCCCCCTCCCACCCCGCCGGTTATACGAGGCAAAAGAACATCAGCCTCTCCTAGGGCTCAGCCTGTTTTTCTTTAATCCCTGGCGTTAATTAGGAGGCCCCAGATGGCAAGGAGATGCCTCCGAAGCCGGCTGTACCAGGCACACAGCCTACAAACTGTTCTTTGTGTCTGCCAGCTGGGGTATCAACCTCCACTTTCCCTGTGGGACTCACACAGAAACAAGGAGTACGTGGGAGCCAAGATCTCCCTAAAAGGGAACATACAGGATGCCTGCTTCACTCTTTGAAAATGGAGCACCTGGGCAAATAATAATAACAGGGCAGGTAACTTAGTGGCACCTGCGAGTGAGCGCAGCTTACCCAACACGCACTTAAACCAGTCCACAGCCAAATAGCGGAGAAACACAGCTGCGATGTAGTGGCAGGAAGCTTGCAAAAACCCAAAGGACGAACGGACGGACGCGTCTCTCGGAAAAAAAGGAATTAAGGCTTGCAACAACACCGTTGCCAGCTGATTTGCAAGTTACCAAACCGAACTGCCAATTGAAAACAGAAACACAAAAGTCTCCTGCCCTCACGGTGATGACAACAGGAATGACAAATGAAAAACAAATGCTGAAGGAAGCTGGCACCAGTGTGGGTTTTCTACACCCCATTTGTTTTAGCACTGGTGCCAATTTTCGTTCTGGGACAGAGTGCTTGAGCGTGACTTACAGTGCTCGTATTCAAAAACGCTGGTTCAATATAGAGCAGAGGTCTCCAAATGTGGCAACTTAAGACTTGGGTACTCCCAGAATTCCCCAGCCAGCCTTGCTGGGAGTTGAAGTCCTCTTCAAAGTTGCCACCTCTGGAGACCCCTGGTAGATAAGGGAAGTCTCCCAGAAATTAAGACTGCATTGAAATTGAAGGCTGAAAGAGAGAGAGGCAGCCTTCTGAATTTGGACGGAGAGAGAAAATATATCAGATTATCCCTTATTATGCAAGGACGTGGAAAAATGATTCATTAAATAGTAGTGGGAACATCTGCTTGGATGGAGAGTTTGTGGCAATCTTGATATATTTGCAAGTTTGTTATCCTAAGGCAGCAGCAATTTCTCAAGGAACAATGCTTCACGCTTACACATCAAAAGAGGATATACCGTACAACAGAAAGATTGACTTCCTCCAGTTTCATCCAAAAGCACATAAATTAAGAAGAAGTATTGCTGTGTGGTAGGACAAGATTAAATGAAATGTTGTGGTTACTTGACTGAGAAATACTTTTATTATGTAATTGAGTTATTTCTGTGGCAATTATTTCTTGCGCAAAATCAGTTAACAACAGATAACTTGACTAATAATTTTGTTTATAAGGAACTAAGCAAGCAACACACAAGGAATTCAGCAAAAGTTGAGACTCTGAGGCAGTCTCACCCAACATTCATCTTTGTTCAAAATATTAAGAGCAAGTAGGAAGGCCTTCAAGAGCATAGATACCACAACAATGCAATATTTATGGTGCAATCCTATGTGGGGAATAGTTCTATTAACTCTGGGCTTGATTCTAATTAAGTATGTTTACAAATAAAAGATCAAAAGTACTCTGAGCAGGAAGCTGAAACACAAGTTGTCATCCAAGTAGCACATCACTAACTACTTTGGGAATTAAACCCCATTTCAGAATTTTAAAGTTGAAAACTTCCAAAAGTGTTTTTCAAAAGGCGACTGGCCTTTCTTGATTTATTTTTTTTCCTGGAAAATGTTCTGAAGAACTGAAGAAGCTTCTTGGATGAGAAGCAAAATGTTTTCAAGGAGGAAAAACTGCGAAATTCCAGCTGCCTTTTGGAAAAAAACAACAACAAATCATGACCTGAATGATTGAGAGATAATCCTAAACCTCAACTTTACATTGTAAAACACATACACCTCTCTCTGGATTTTCAAATGGATGTAGCTTATCTCTCTTTTTCCAGGAAGACACAAGGCCAAATCCCTTCCCGTGGAATTTCCTTTTATGTTTCTTGATTTGTTCTTTTAACGCTTGATGATTTTATTGTCTTGTTTTCCCGTATCCCAGATAGAATCTGTGTTTGTTGAGTCAACTACAGCTAGTGTAAAATAATACAGAAATCATAGGAAGCTGCGCTAAATGTCATCCAACAATTCTTAGCACATTTAAAAAAAAAAAAGCAAGCTGTCCCCTTTCCTAACATTTTATAGTCAGAGGCCACTTTCAAAAACCTTCAAACTACCAACGTCACTTGATGCAGCCTAAAAGAATAAATCACTGATTTATACATAATCTAGTAAGCTCTATTTACGGTGGCCTTCAGGGATCTTTCCAGTTAAGTAATTTTGACAGCAATGATCCCACTGTCTTAGTTGGTGCAGCACCATGATTATAAATGTTGGTCCAGTTACACAGCTTCAATAATAGACTAGAATAGAACAACAGAGTTAGAAGGGACCTTGGAGGTCATCTAGTCCAACCCCCTACCCAGGGCAGGAAACCCTATACCATTTCAGACAAATGGTTCTCCAGTCTCTTCTTAAAAACATCCAGTGTTGGAGCATTCACAACTTCTGGAGGCAGGTTGTTCCACTGATTAATTGTTCTAATTGGCAAGGACAATGGGATCTGTGATCCAAAACATCAAAAAAGCCAGCTGGTGTATTATAGGCTAAATCTCTCCTTCCTTTACATCAGTTCATTTACATCCACTTGGCCATTTTAAGATGTGCAGATTTCAGCTCCCAGAATTCCCCAGTCAAGCTTTTGAGAAAAATTGATTTACACTAACTGCCCCCCCCCCCCCCATTTGCTAAGCCAAACTCCTAGAAAGTTATGAACTGAGTCTAGTCCACCTGGGATGCACCATGTTGGAGAAAGTGGACTTTCTCCAACATAGCAGCCTCTTCTATCCCAGGGGTGGGCAACTTTATGACCTGTAGACTTCAATATCCAGAATTCCTGAGCCAGCATTGGCTAGCTTAGGGATTCTGGGAATTGAACTCCATAAGTTCTACCCCAGCACTCCTGTCCTAGCCTCTTTGCCTTTCTAGCAAGTCTGCCCAGATGTCCCCAGGACACTTTGGGTTACATCTCTCAGAATCCCTGCAGAGAGACTTTGCAAGCTGCGGCTTATGGGTGCAGTAGTCCAAAAATATCTGGAGAACTCCCAAGAAGGTCAGTGCCCATCTTCATACCCCCTATGCCCACTGTGGGGTCTATCATGAATCTCTTCCCTCCAATTCCCTCCCCCCAAACTTGTTGTCCTAAAGAGGCTCATCTCCTTCCAGCTTCCCTCTGCATCTCCCTAGGACAACTCCCAGAATCCCCCAGAAAAGTTCCTCGAAGGGCAAAGAATCGTGCCAGACTCATTTAAGCTAAGTCTGCGCCGATTTCTTTCTCCTACCTTTTGGGCGACACCCCCACCACCACCTTCTGCCCTCCTAAAGGCACTTGTTTCCGCGCTTCCTTGGCGGTGGGGGGCAGCTGTCAAGTTCCCCCCCTCCCTCGTCAATGGAATCGTCTGGTCCGCGGATCCAGGGCTGACAAGGCGGGATGTTCCATTCCTCTTTGGGGGGGTTGCATCTGCCCAACCGTCCCGCTCCCTCGCCTTCTACTCACCCAATGGGGCTGCCGTCCACCTCTGCCTACAGGTGGCCCCTTTACGGACCGGTTTCCGCCTTAGCCCGAACATTCGGAGGCGCCACATGACAGCCGCGCACCAATGGGCGGAGGGCGGAGCCGGCGAGGGGCCCCCTTGGAACGTCATCCCGCCAGTTCCCCTGAAGACAGCGCCTGAGCTCGCCTCCTCCTCTTTTTTTGGCCGCCCTTCTTAAAGGGGCCGCGCGCCCTCCGGCTTCTGCGGCGAAGGGACACGTGTCCCGGTGGGTATTAAGAGTTCGGGTAGAACGGTGCTTTAAACCTGGCAAATTTAAAATGGGTGGACTGGGGAATTCTGGGAGTTGAAGTCCACCCCATCTTAAAAGAACCTGGCTAGGGGATTCTGGGAGTTGGCCCACTCAATTTAAAGCAAGCTGGCTGGGGGATTCTGGGAGTTGAAGTGAGTTGAAGTCCATCCATCTTAAAGCAAGCTGGCTGGGGGATTCTGGGAGTTGAAGTCCATCCATCTTAAAACAATCTGGCTGGGAAGTTCTGGGAGCAGAAGTTCATGCATGTTAAAGCAAGCTGGCTGGGGACTTCTGGGAGTTGAAGTCCATCTTAAAGCAAGCTGGCTGGGGATTTCTGGGAGTTGAAGTCCATCCATCTTAAAGGAAGCTGGCTGGGAATTCTGGGAGTTGAAGTGAGTTGAAGTCCATCCATCTTAAAGCAAGCTGGCTGGGGGATTCTGGGAGTTGAAGTCCATCCATCTTAAAACAATCTGGCTGGGAAGTTCTGGGAGCAGAAGTTCATGCATGTTAAAGCAAGCTGGCTGGGGACTTCTGGGAGTTGAAGTCCATCTTAAAGCAAGCTGGCTGGGGGATTCTGGGAGTTGAAGTCCACCCATCTTAAAGTTGCCAGGTTTGGAAATCTCTGGGGTAAAAGATTGTAACATTGCAACCTCCCTCAGAAGTAAGCATTTGGGGCTGTAAATAATCAGAACCAGCATATTTTCTGCCTAATCAAGTTTATTAAGAAACAGAAGCTTTTGTGAGCTCCAGGTCATGGAACCTTTTACTTTTTAATAAAGTCTCATAAAATAATTGAAATTAAATAAGTAGTTTAATATGCGTTAGTCAGAAAAGGTGCAACTACTAGACCACTGATTTTTATTTTACTTATTTATTTTTGCTGCTAAAGACTAACACAGTCTTCCGCTTTGCTTGGTTTCTCACAACATGCTAAACTTGTTATTGAGCATAAAATGCTATGCATAAAAAAACTAATAAATGTTCAGGTTTATCGTGACCATCTAGCTGCCATACGGCTCGCTTAAGAGTGAGAGGTGATATTTTGTAATTAAAAAATGAGATCCTACTTAGCTTTAGCAGGAATGCAGGGAGGATAGAAATTAGCCTGTGTGTGGCTGTGGAGTCCACCTACACACAGGAAAAGAAATGGACAATGAACATCAAACCGGTTTTAATGCATCTCTTTTCAAAAGGATCCGCATGCCACATCTGGGCAAAAAGGCCTCTTGAAATGCCAGCCATTTCCAAGTGTCAGAAGTAAATCTTCATCCTGGTTCATCCAAGCCGGGAATAAATAAACAATATGGAGACTGCTTTGGGAATAAGGTTACAGTTTATTGAAGAAGCAGAAAGATGGTCCTTGCAAGAAAGAGCAGAGGAGAGGAAAAAAAGAGGAATTGAGCACATGGGCAGTAGGTTTTTATACCTTCTCTAGCCTTGTTTGGAATAGTTTCCTGTTCCTGTGGCATGAACCTTGAGGCTATTTCTGTTTTTCCAGGCCTTGATATCTGTGGTTTAATCCTATTATCATATCCTGCTTCCCAGGTGATGGGGCTCATGACTCCTAGAGTTTGGGTGGGGCATGCAGATTTTCTCTTTGTCTTTTTGAGTGCTCTGGCTTCAACTTTCTGATGGTTTTACATCTGCATTTGTATGGGGCTAGCTCTTGTTTGGGGCAGAGAGATAGATTTGGGGCCAGGTTTGGTTTTAAAAAGTCCTTTTGAGGAAAAATATATTTTTCTGCCCTTTTTAATATTTCCTTCTCTGGGCTAACTTCCCTCACAAGGGTCTTCCTTGGTTTTTCATGAAGTATCCAGCTAGAATCTTTTTTTTTCCTTTGCTGGTCATATTTGTACAAAGAGCCTGCCTTTTCTGTCCCAGCTTTATAGTTCACTTCAGCCTTTGCTGTAAATCAGGATAAATCAGGTGAGCTTGACTGAAAGAGGCTTTGCCTATTGACAAACATGACAGATGAGGTTAAAGGAGGTGAAGGGGAACTCAAGGAAGTGTCTTGCAGTTAGACACCTTTTCCTAAAGAGAGAACTAACTAACTAACTAACTAACGAGAGAACCAACCTAAAACTAAAACTAAATTTCCTGACAGTGAGAATAGTTAACCAGTGGAACTACTTGCCTCCAGAAGTTGTGGCTTCTCCAACACTGGAGTTTTTTAAGAAGAAACTGGACAGCCATATGTCTGAAATGGTACAGGTCATCCCCGACTTACAACAGTTCATTTAGTGACTGTTTGAAGTTACAATGGCACTGAAAAAAGTCACTAAGTTATGACTATTTTTCACAGTTATGACCGTAAAAGCATCCCCATAACCATGTGATTTACGTTTGGAGGATTCATAGTTATGACGTTCACAGCGTCCCGGGGTCACGTGATCCCCTTTTGCGACTTACTGACAAGCAAAGTCAAGGGGGAAGCCAGATTCACTTAACAGTTGTGTTACTAATTTAACAACTGCAGTGATTCACTTAACAACTGGGGCAAGAAAAGTCTGGCGCAGTGGTTAGAATGCAGTAAATTGTAGGCTGACTCTGCCCACTGCCAACAGTTCGATTCTCACCTGCTCAGGGTTGACTCAGCCTTCCGTCCTTCCGAGGTCGGTAAAATGAGGACCCAGATTGTTGGGGCTGACTCTGTAAACCGCTTAGAGAGGGCTGTATAACACTGAAGCGGTATATAAATCTAAGTGCTATTGCCCTCCCTTCCTTCCTTCCTTCCTTCCTTCCTTCCTTCCTTCCCTCCTTCCTTCCCTCCCTCCCTCCCTCCCTCCCTCCTTCCCTCCCTCTCTTTTCCCCTTTCTCATTCTCCTTCCTGGTGGCACAGAATACAGTATTGCAGG